CTGTGCTTCCTCAAGCAGATCAATAATGTATTTGCGTTGGCAAACATGAAGACCAACTGCTGACCGATGAATCTCTAATCCCAGAAAATAAGATAAGTCACCTAATTCCTTGAGATTAAAAGCCGAATGTAGCACCCGTTTGAGCTCCTGTATACCAAGCTGATCATTCCCTGTTACTATCATATCATCAACATAAATTAAAAGCACTGTAAGACCACGACTGGTATTGCGAAGAAAGAGAGAAGGATCATTGTTACTCTGGACAAAGCCTGCATCGAGAATGGTGTCCTGGAACTTTTCAAACCATGCTCGAGGTGCTTGTTTCAACCCGTACAGAGACCTCTTAAGCCGACACACCATAGAGCTGTCACCACGAGTATAACCTGGTGGTCTCTCCATATATATGACCTCCTTAAGATCACCGTGAAGAAAGGCATTCTTCACATCTAACTGAAGGAGATCCCAACCCTTCATAGCTGCTACTGCCAGCAAACTCCGTACTGTCTGCATTTTAGCTACAGGAGCAAACGTTTCTGCATAATCCACCCCATACTCTTGACAAAAGCCTTGAGCAACTACACGCGCACGGAACCTCTCAACACTCCCATCTGGTAACATTTTGACTGTATACACCCACTTACTACCGATGACAGAGTATTCAGGACGTCGTGGTACCAAGTCCCAAGTCTCGGCAGCATCAAGAGCATCCTTCTCCACATCCATAGCCTTCTCCCAATGCTCGATCCCCCGAGCCTGCTTGTAAGTGGCTGGCACCACAATCGATGGAGTGGAAAAGGCAACAAACTCGGAATGATGGGGTGGGGGAACACCTTTATTCACCCTGGTAGACCGACGAACTGGGGGAGGACTTTCAGGAGGATTGGCTTGTAAGCCAGCCATGTCTTGAGCAGATTCGGAAGAGGATGAAGATGATGAAGATGTCCCAGAGTCTGACGTAGCACCTGCGGATAGAGAGATCGACGAGGAAGAAGACCCAGTAGAAAAAGTGGAAGAATCCGAGGACCCAGAAGAAGTGGAATAATGACTTGGACTATTCTCATGACTTGGACTATTCTCCAAGGTGCCAAGCTCATCACCCTCCTCCACTGGTGCGGAGCTAGAAGTGGAATAATTAAATGGACGTAAGAATTCCAAGTCCATGCATGAGGAGACGTCGGAAGTTGTGGACCCATAATACGGCATATTCTCAAGAAAAACTACGTGACATGAAATCCGGACACGTCGCGCAGTAGGATCATAGCACACGTATCCTTTATGCTTCTCGCTATATCCAAGGAAAACACACCGAACAGCCTTCGGTGTGAGTTTTGTGCGCTCCCGTTGAGCAAGAAGTACATAGCAGGAGCACCCAAATACACGGAGCCAACCATAGTTAGGGAGACGCGAATACAAAACCTGATATGGACTGCGTTGGCTAAGAACTGACGTAATTTGTCGATTGATCAAATAGACGACCGTATGAACAGCTTCCACCCAAAACATCTTTGGAACCTGTGAGTGAAATAAAATGGCACGTGTAAGTTCCAAAACATGCCTATTCTTACGCTCCACTAGGCCATTTTGCTGCGAAACTCCAGGACAAGATTGCTGAACAAGAATACCCCGCTCTCGCAGCATCGCCTGTAACGGATTCGAAGTAAACTCACCCCCAGGATCAGAACGCAAAATCTTAATGATTTTTCCAAACTACGTAGACACCATCTGAATGAACTCCTGAGCACAAGAAAACAATTCGGACTTCTGGCGAAGAAAGAAAACCCAGGTAAAGCGCGTAGCATGATCGATGAACAGGGCGAAGTATCGGAAACCAAGGCGGGAAGTAACTGGAGAGGGACCCCATAAATCAGTGTGAATTAACTCAAATGGCTCGGAATACACTGTCTCACTGGACGTAAACGAACGCTGAGACAGTTTAGCTTGCAAGCAATGAACACATTCATGATCCTGTTCAGATAAACCACTACCAGATAACCATTTATTCTGAAACATAGTACGAAGGCGCACTGAATGTGGATGTCCCAATCTAAAATGCCAGAGATCCCAATTCGATAATTTGACCGAAAAACCAGAAAAAACATCTTGTCTACTACAACTAGACAAATCACTCTCACAATTATCCTTATCCTTCAAGTTCGCCACCTGGGAAGAATTCCTTAAAGAAATATTTCCTACTAGCCGATCCTGAACGTGCCCGCCACCATCTTGCACAGCCAAGTGATCGAGCATGTAGGTGCGCCCTTTCTTACTTCCCCTCCCGAGCTCCTTCCCCGTCCTCGTGTCCTGCACAGAGCACCCATCCGCATCAAATATGACGCGACAACCATCATCAGCTAACTGACCAACAGAGACAAGGCTGGGCACAAGTTGAGGAACATATAACGTATTGGGGAGTGATATACTGGGCTGCACAACATGACCTACACCCTTAACCTCCATTCTATTACCATCGGCAGCTTGTAATGCAATACCAAGTGCTGACTTATCAAGAGTACGAAAGACACTAGTTGAGCTAGTCATGTGATTGTAAGCTGCTGAATCAACATGCCACGACGGAGAACATGAAGAAGTCTTACCCGTAGCAAAGGCTGAAGTTAAGGCCGATGGAAGAACATCCTTCAAGGCATCTTGGACCAGGCGACGGACATCCTCAGGAGTCAATGAACCCCCGAAGAACTTCGGGCAGTAGAACCCACATCCACAGCCGCGTACGCACCACCGACAGCTGAACGAGACGGTCCAGGACGCGAGCCGCCAGACCTCGACCTGCTCCGCTGGGCTAGCGTCGGACACGCAGCAATGAGATGTCCCTCCAGCTTGCAATAATTGCAAGTGTTGCGCTTCGGACAATGAAATTGAATATGTCCCGGAGCCTTGCAATGATAACAAATGACCTCCCCTTTAGTTGTCCGATGGAATTGGGGTTTACCTCCAACAGCAAACGCAAGACCAGGCCCATTGGAGTGGATATCAATCTTTGCTTGGCTTTTGAGCCTTGTTTCCTCACGGAGAAGTTCGGAGAGCACATCCTCCACAGTTGAGACCTCACGATGGAGAAGAGAGGCCCTTATACCTTCAAATTCAGGCCGTAACTTCATGAGAAAACGCATCACACGGGTGCTTGCGCGTTCACTAAGAGCATCGGGAGTGGGCGGTGCGGACGACAAAGAGGCCAAAATCAGGTCCTGCTCCGTCCATAAAGTGACGGCTTCCTGGTAATAAGAGCTGATCGAAAGCTCTCCTTGCTGCAGCTGGGCCAAATCATGCTCGACATCAAATTTGCGCGAAGCATTAGCCTTAGAATAGAGTTTCGCCAAGTGCCCCCACATCTCCGAAGCCGTAGAAAAGCCACGAAGGCTCAGCGCTATACCAGGTTCAAGAGAACTCAGCAACAGGGACATTACCGAGGCATTATTCACAGCCCAATCATCTCGATCCTTTTGCGAAGCTGTCTCCGCTGGAACCCTAGCTGTACCATCCAGAATAGGAAGCAGGCGCTTCCCTTGAACATGAAGGCGGAATTGAAATTCCCAGAGAGCGAAATTCTTACCATTAAACCGAGGAAGAAGAGCATCATTCTTGGAGTTGTCCATGATACCTAAACCAACCGAAAATCACAAGAGCAATAGAAACCACACAAAGGCGTTGAGCTAGCAACCTTGAAGCCACACGAAAACGGCGCACCAGCAACCCTAAGCAGCACGCAAGGACAACACACGAAGTCCACACAGAGACGGGAAACACGACCAAATCACGAGAAGTAATGGAGAGGCTCTGATACCATGTCAATCAAACCGAAAACACGAAGAACACAAGACACGGATTAACGTGGTTTCCCTAACGATTGTCGTTAGGACTAGTCCACGGAGAACGGCGGCCGATCTTATTCTCGCAATCGTTAACCTTTCTGTACAGCCATGCACCCAATATATATACAGCTATACTAACCCTAACCCGGCAAACTACGTTTTGGTACTTGGACAATTACATATAGATACATATACTTCAACACCTTCCCCCTTCGAATCGCACCTCATCCCCACCAAGAGGACCGAGAGGGCGTCTTCTTTTCCAATCGCCGCAGAGTGGCGGCTCCTCGCACTCGCAGCCTCGTCACCAGAGCTTCATCGAGATCCTCTCCGACAACCTCAACCTCCCCGAGCTGTACGCCGCACTGTTGCTTCCTCACCGGGGACTTCTTGGCACAGATGGCGGAGACTGCGAGCCGTCGCAAGAGAGGAACAGATCGATCTGGATTTTCCCGGCACAAATCGTCTTTAGAGTTGGAGGAGATCTATGATTTCTCTGGTGCGAATCGCCTTCATATTTGGAGATACATGCTTTCTTCGGCGTGAATCGTCTTCAAATTTGGAGGCAACGGCCATGACAAGAGTCGATTTGGTCATGGAGTGAATTGGTGAAGGCGGTGGTGGATTGTGATATTTGAGATGATGGAGAGAGGAGTGAAGTAGAGATTGGGGGTCGGCAGTAAAGGCGGAAGAAGGTGGAAATAGGGAGAGATTTTTTTTATGATTTTCATTTAAAGTAATTGTTTTTATTTTTTATTTTTTATTTTTGTTAATCCATGTGGATTGGTGGGACAGTAAATTGCCAACTCGGCATTTTTCGTCAGTCTAATCACACCATTAAAGGGATGTACGAAATTGACTATTTTGTGTTTTCGGATATTTATGGCTATATTTGTAACAAACGTGAAAATTATGGCTATACATGTAAACAGTATGAGTTTCACCAATTTATGATGGATCGAGTTCAATTCCAACAAGTTGTTTAGTGACATGCACGGCACACCTTACTGGAATTATTGATTAAACACATCTAATAGAAAGTAACTATTATGTAACAACAACAAAAATGAAACACAAGTGACAAATTATATTGCATTTTGAAGTTTGGTAATGATTTTGTTATTAACTATAGTTTAGTGACCATTTAGTCTTTTAACCATGAAAAGCATGTAGAATAAAAATCGGATTACTCTACAATTCTCCTAAAAAAATTAATCAAAAAGAAAAATAACTCTCAATATAAATAGCAACGAAGAATAAATCTCAGAAATAGCGGTTCCACCAAATACTAGGGTTTCATTGTAACTTCTGCGGTCCCACTCTCCTCCGACTCCGACCATCTTATTTCGGCCACTGCCCTTCGTCGGCCCGTCGGCGAGCAGAGAAGCAGAAGAGACCAGCCCGACCTCCGGTGATCACCTCCATTACTCCTTCGCTTCTGCCGTATCTCCCTCTTGCAGAGTTCACAGTAAGTCCACTTGTTCATGCCTTTACTGTACTAAGCTCGGGTAATTCGATTGACTGGCTGTTGATTACTAAGTGATCTCAATTACAGATACGGTAGTCTGCTTGTATTGAACAAATTAGTTTTCTCCATTGCTGTAATTCAGTTACGACTCTGACTTGCCATACTGTATTAGATTGATAGCTCACTGGGTAGTGTTCGAATTGACTTGATCAATTCGGAGCTGTAGTTCACTGTAATTGGAAATATATTCCCCGTAACTACTCGAAATCGTTTGATTTCCTGTTGAGTACTTCTGATCGTGTTATACTCTTATTTCCAGAACTCCAGTTCGTCTCAGTTTGTTTTTCTGGCAAAGCAATGGCGCCATTGGTGAGTTGGGAGGTTTCTAGTTTTGGGCTTTTTGATTTTTTCGTGGATTCCGATTGGAGTACCTTGAAAATCAAGTATAACCTCAAGGCTGCGATCTGATCTTTTTTTATTCAGGTCTTGCATGCAGGGAAGACAAACAAGAATGCCTTCAAGACACTGATTGTGGCCGAGTTTTCTGGGGTGAAAGTTGATTTGGTTGAGAATTTTGAGATGGGAGTGTCAAATAAGACCCCTGAGTTCTTGAGGTGGAACCCCATCGGCAAGGTAAAAGCCAGCTTTTTCTCTGGAAATCATCACCTTTGAATTACTTAGTGTGCTAGATTTTTTCTGCATGTGGATTTTTAAGGAACATGAATTCTTGATTTTAGGTTCCGGTCTTGGAGACGCCTGAGGGTCCTATCTTCGAGAGCAATGCTATTGCTCGATATGGTAAGGTTGATAATGTATATTGACGTTGAATGCATTGGTATAATTGATGGTAAAGTTTTTAATTCTCCATTTGTTTGCTGCAGTTACCAAGTTGAAGGCAGACAACCCACTTTATGGCAGTTCACTCATCGATTATGTAAAGGCCTCTCTGATAAGCTCATCACTACAATGTCTTTTGGTATTTCATATTGCACTGCATATAAGCATGAGTCCGAGCTTACTCTTACCTTTTTTTCAATCTACAGGCCCATATTGAGCAGTGGATTGACTTTGCAACACTGGAGATTGATGCCAATATTGGTGGTTGGCTGAGACCTCGCTTTGGCCGTGCGCCTTACCTTCCCCCTGTGAGTTACTTGTCTTATACCGTTTTTCTTTAGTTTTAGTACTTTCAGCCTTTATATCCTTAACATTCTATATTCCTGTCTAAATCAGATAAAATTATGAGACCAGTTGTGATTCTTGACTGATTTTGCTGGTTTATATATTTGTTATGTTTCGGTTTCCCTGGTACATACTTACCCGTCATCTTATTGTAAATGAAGGCTGAGGAAGCTACCATTTCATCATTGAAGAGGGGTCTCGATGCATTGAACACATACCTCGCTTCGAACACGTACCTTGTCGGGGACTCTGTTACCTTGGCAGACATCATCCTCACCTGTAATCTTTACATGGGGTTCTCTAGGATCATGACAAAGAGCTTTACCTCGGAGTTCCCCCATGTTGAAAGATACTTCTGGACCTTGGTTAATCAACCAAATTTCAAGAAGGTATTGGGCGAAGTGAAACAAACTGAGTCAGTTCCTCCTGTCGAGTCCGGTAAAAAGCCAGCGCAGACAAAGGAAAAGGCGAAGCTCAAAGTGGAGCCTAAGAAGGAAGTCAAAAAGGAGAAAGAGCCTCCCAAGGCAGAAGTTGCTGCAGCAGTAGAGGAAGAGGCAGCACCAAAGCCGAAAGCAAAGAACCCTCTCGATTTGCTGCCACCAAGTCCCATGATTTTGGATGACTGGAAGAGGCTGTACTCCAACACAAAGACCAACTTCCGTGAGGTGGCAATCAAAGGTATTTAACTACATATCCTTACAGTTTCAGAATCTTTATCGTCCGACCAAGATTGATGTGAAAGAATGTGATTTGTTATCTAAATCTAAACTCAATTTGAAGTTATTTTCTAGCCAAAACAAACACATCGCATAGTCTGCTTTTTTCACCGGAAAGCTTACAACGATAATGCCTAACTTGTGACTCTGTGGTCGCAGGCTTCTGGGACATGTACGATCCTGAGGGATACTCATTGTGGTTCTGCGACTACAAGTACAACGACGAGAACACAGTCTCCTTCGTTACTCTTAACAAGGTCGGTGGGTTTCTCCAGAGGATGGATCTGGCTCGCAAGTATGCATTCGGGAAGATGCTCATTATCGGGTCTACACCACCATTCAAGGTGAAGGGACTGTGGCTCTTCCGCGGACAAGAGATCCCTCAGTTTATCATTGACGAGTGCTACGATATGGAGCTCTACGAGTGGAAGAAAGTCGACATCTCCGACAAAGCACAGAAGGAGCGTGCCAGCCAGATGATTGAAGATGCAGAACCTTTCGAGGGAGAGGCACTCCTAGATGCCAAATGTTTCAAATAGAGAGTTAACTTGCTGTTTGGGGAGATGTTTGGAGAACTCTCTTTTATTTTTGGTGAGGATTTAGTTTTGTGATTTCAGAATATCAGTAAACTGCTTCTTGGGATAGTGATTGCAATTAATGGAGTTGTAATTATTACTTCAGAAACTTCAAATTTTATTCCCAAAATTTTAGAAGAGCAGACCAAACACGTCCTTTGATTATATAAAATTTATAATATGAAGGACTTGATTATTCGATAGTAAAATATTGGGAAAAAATCCCAAGTTACACATGTTTTTAAAAAAAATTCTCAAAATACATAAGTAATGAAAATAATTCCCAATCTACGTTAGTTTGGGCCATCACCGCTGTCGACGAAGACAGTGATTGCATCACTGTTGTCGACGAAGACAGTGATTGCATCACCGCTGTCGACGAAGACAGTGATTGCATCACTGCAGTACACGGCCGCGGTGAAGGCCTGACCTGCGTCGAAACTTTAAACAAACGTAACTTTGTGCTCGGTTATCCGATCGTAGCGAAATTTTTTTTGATTCCGCATAATTTTTCGAGATATTGCAAGCCGCAAATTGCCGTAGGCGGTTTGGTCCCGCCTTCGTCTCGAAAATATGTCGTTTGCTACTTCGAACGAGCCTTTTTTCGATTTCGTCAAACTTTGAACGACCATAACTTTGTGCTCCACAATCAGAAAATCATGAATTTTTTTTTGATTTCGCATAAATTTTTAAGGACTACAATATTTAGTAGGAGAGAATTTTCAAAAAATGAATTATTTATGGATATACGGGATTTTGGGAATAACTTTACCTTCATTTTCAGGAATCCAAGTACATTCCGAAAATATGTCTATGATAAAAATTGTAGTCCTTAAAAAGTTATGCGAAATAAAAAAAAATTCATGATTTTCGGATTGTGGAGCACAAAGTTATGGTCGTTCAAAGTTTGACGAAATCGAAAAAAGGCTCGTTCGGGGTAGCAAACGACATATTTTCGAGACGAAGGCGGGACCACACCGCCTACGGTAATTTGCGGCTTGCAAGATCTCGAAAAATTATGCGGAATCAAAAAAAATTTCGCTACGATCGGATAACCGAGCACAAAGTTACGTTTGTTTAAAGTTTCGACGCAGGTCAGGCCTTCACCGCGGCCGTGTACTGCAGTGATGCAATCACTGTCTTCGTCGACAGCGGTGATGCAATCACTGTCTTCGTCGACAGCGGTAATGCAATCACTGTCTTCGTCGACAACAGTGATGCAATCACTGTCTTCGTCGACAGCGGTGATGGCCCAAACTAACGTAGATTGGGAATTATTTTCATAACGTTTGTATTTTGAGAATTTTTTTTAAAAACATGTGTAACTTAGGATTTTTTCCAAAATATTGTGGATTGTATTGTGAATTTGTCCAAACAAAGGCACCGACCGAAGAATAATTAATTATCACTTCACTAACACAGCCCGCGCTAGCTAGCTGGTTGTAAAGCGAGAGCGACCAACCTCGAAATCGAAAGTCTCCCGACTGTGAACATTATACTCAGCTCTCTTCAACGACGATTACACATTTGACGATGGCGCCGCCACATAATTATGCCGATCGCCGCTAACGGCGGACTTCTGAAGGTACCTTCCTTGAATTTACTGTCGATTGTGATCTGATTCCCTCGAAGCTGCGACTGCTACTCTGCTAGCATAGTCGAGTAGATATAGTGCGGGGAAAAGCTGCTCACTGCTAGAACGTTGAAATATTGCTCATTAGATGTTTGTGTTAATGTCACAGTGGATAGGATTTCACTAATGCCCTTGCTTAGCCAATTAGCGAACCGGTGCTTCGAAATGTTGGGTTATTCAGTTTTGAATTGTTAGGGTATTGATATTATACTTTTTTTTTTTTGTAGAAGTATTGATATTATACTAGTTGAACGGTAAGGAGAGAGCTAAGCTGCAATCTGTTACTGTATTCTATTGGGAATGAGAAGCAGAGAAAGCAGATTAGAAGACCAACATTTGATAGTTTCGATAGAATTGGAAGAGGCAAACACCATATTACAGTAGATAAAAGCACAAAGAAAGGCACAGGTACACTTGGTTCCTTGTCTTTTGGGCTCATTATTAGTAACTTAGGACAGAAGGGGTTGAGGAAGTCAGGTGGAAGAAGAAGAAGAAGAAGAAACAGAAACAGAAGCCAGGGGGAATCTTTTCTCGCTTCATTTGTTTAGCTAGCTACTTGTGCAGATATCTGCTGCCTTACTGAAATCTTTACAATATCTCCTTGCAAAGTATCTGAAACTTGTTCCTCATTGGAGCTTCAGATTCTTCAAAAGCCTGCACAATGAAAGATAAACAAAGATAAAGTAATCAAACATTGCCATTATATTATATAGAGATGATGTTTCAGATTTAATAAATAGATAGGGGAGCCTGCTGCTGGTTTTTATAATACATCAGGAGCATGTTGGCAGCAGCATAAGATGCTCTTCATTAATAGCTAGATCCAAGAACTTTCATCGTGTATGAAGCTCATGGGGATCAATGTAGGAAGTAGAAACTTATATATTTTTAAGTTTCCGTGTGTCTTGTGCGTTGTGCTGACTGGTGGTAACTGTCAAGCACCGGCTTAACTGATTAGTTAATTGATATTTTGGACCAGCCATGTGCATGTGATGATGTAGAGCATTAGTCGGATTAGATTTCATGTGGGCTCTCTTGAAAGCTAGAGTACCATATGTAGATGGAACAGAAGAATAATAATTGTCTAAGAGGGGAACTGGTTCAGTATTTGCTTTAGATAGTAGCTACCAGAAATAGAAAGCGAAGTGGATGACAAAGCAATTCAGCAAAAAACACTAAATTGTGCAAACAGCATGTATTAGCTTGAAAAAGCAAACTTTTGTAAACCCTTTTTTAAGTCTTTCAGACAAATGCAACTATGCAAGAAGTGAAATATAGTGAACTGTCAACTTCAGGACTAGCTTTGCATGTTTGGCACTATAAACAGCTTTAAGAATTCGAGATTAAATTGACCAAATCTGATGTTTGATGAATTTTTGGCAGGAAATGTTTTAACCAGTTTCAGTTTATCTTCAAGGCTAACGTGCATTACCTCTGTTCGTCCGGATAACCTCTGCCACCATTGTTCACAGGGTTCCTGTAATTGGGAAGTGGAGCTTGACCCGATTCTATGTACATGAGATCCGCCACCAAACAATCATAGTGCCTCTTTACCTCTTCAGCGGATTTACCACCCACAGCCCGCGCCACGTTTTGCCAGCGGTCAGGGGTGTCCCTGTCATACACAGCCAGTGCCCTCTCAAACAGCTTGTTTTGCTTGAGCGTCCAGGAAGAGCCAGAACCTTGACAAGGAAGGTAACTCGATGCCATTAAACTTAATTTAAGGGTGTGTGAAGGGGATGGCTTTGGGGAAAAAGAAAACTGGCAAAAAGCCAAGAGTTTGGTTGTGAAAAGAGAGGGAATGGGCAGAGAGAAAAAGATTTTCCGGAGAGGAAGGAAGAACAAAGTGAGAAGTTAAGCTCAGAGAGTGGAGGGTAGTTCAAAGGGGAGAAGACTCGAGTCAAGGGATGGTATGGGAAACAAGACTGGGGAGCCTGCTCCTTATAAGCAGGCTTGGAGGGAGGTGCTGTGGCCTATGCAAGTAGGCAGAAAAATATTCGCTTGCTTAAGCAAAGAGAGGGGTAAAACAGGACAAGACCTGTAGTAAGAGCAAAAGGACTGGCCCTTCATAAAAGTCATTTTCTTGTCTTGTATAATATCATTAGCAAGTGGATCTTGGTGGAGAGAATTTTCATTTTTACCAGCTGTTGGGAGATTAGATTCCAATTCCTTTACATATTGATGTGGTTATAGAGAAGTAGGAATCCCCATATCCCACCTTACATGAGACCACAGTGAGAGAGATCCCCATGCCTTCATCTTCACTACCCAACTCCTACTGCCGACTTCCCTTTCTTTCTTGCATATTTTTTTTTTTTAAATTTGTGGGTCAAGTTGCCATAACATATCCTTATTCAGTAGTATATGCTTGCTTGACACTCCTTGCTTTTTCGTGTGAATCAAATCTTGGATTTAGTTCTTACTGCAGTACTCTCCTGTTATTCCATTCCAGGTCAATCGTAGCTGCAATCACTGTCAACAAAGCAGCATCTTATTTTGGTGGTAAGTATTCTGAACTTGTAACTGAGAAATCTCATGAGTGTATCCTATTGATAATATGGAGTTACTAAGTTCGAACATTAGTTTCATTTTCCCCATAAAAATACTGAAAAAAGAATTTAGATAAGGGGTGCATCCAGGTATGGAATTGATGATGATCACCTTGGCCGTTTTGTCCTCTTCTTCAATCTAAAAACCCCAAACCCCTTTAGAGAAGGCTGGATTTCTTCCACCACCCCCACCCCACGAGGATTAGGCGGTGCCATATGTGCCTTTCTGACTGTTTTGTTGCTATCAGTGAAGAGAAAAGGATGAGCTTTCCAGTTTCCTTTTTTCCCTTTTTCTGGTTCTTTTCGTCTCAAATAATCCCCTTGATTTTCAAGTTTAGCAGTTCAAAGTTTTGCCGTTTGGAACTTCATGGTACGTCACTTGGTATTGGAACTTGGGAACAGAGCGCTACTGTGTTTTCCCCCCCTAGTTATTGTTTGCTGAATCAGCAGAATCAATAAGTGTGTGTTGTTTGCAGTTTGGGCCAAAGATAAGATACTACCAATGTGTCAGTTGTTTGAGTAGGAGTGGCGATTTCAGCTTGCTTCCTGCAATAGTGAAAAAGGAAAAGCGACCCTGCTCTGATTTTCCATTTACTCCATTCCTTCCTTACAGTGTTTTCTCTTTTGTTCCTTTCTTTGGACTGATGTCTGTCACATTTCCTCGTGCGCCTCCTTTGTCTGGTTTTGGATAATTGGACAAGCGTCCCCATGCAAGTTATTAAGCCGCCCTTCCACTGGTACACGTGTCAGCCTTTTGTATTAGAATGGATTCACAACATGATTTGTAACCTTAAGGAGGGACACCTTAAAACCATTTATTTATATTCCTATTGATTTCTCATTATTCTAATTTATTATCAGGTGCACCAATGGAAAGGGCTGACTTTAAAGTTAAATTTGGAATTGTTAACCCCAACGGTTGTAATTTTTGAGGTGTTTGCTAGCTATTTGCCAATGGGATTTGCTGCAAAGGAATAGCCAGGCAGGTAGAATCTGCTTGCATCACATGGTAAGATGAAATTTAAAAGAAAGAAACAGTGGCTTGAGTCTTTCCCTCCATACAGCAGTTGAATTTGTCACGGATTTGTAAGCTCTTTCACTGGCAGGAGAATCATACTGTACTGCTACGATTCTCCGGAAGTGCTCTGCCTTTTCTTTTCACCAGGTACGATATCTAATACAGTAATACTGACTGGGGAATCAGTCTTTCATCCGCAATATTGTCTTGGTGAATCATAAACGGTCACTGAACTCTACAGCCACTAACAAATGGGTCATAAGAGTTTTAACAAACTTGTTAGTTGTTACTGCATTTTAGTAGGGGTAGAAAAGGATTATGATAAATTTCAGGTAATACGAGATTTCGAATCGAGTTTGAGCAGGTGGTATATGTTCGGATCAAGTATGGAGTAATTCGAGTGCTGTAAGGGTAGTTTGGAGGGAATTTTATGGTAATAGACCGAGTGAATATTAGTTATCCCATCTATTAAAATTGAAAGTGCAGAGACTGACTTGTTAATTACCATGTATGGGAATTGACTCGGATTATTTTGTTCACCAGCTAAAGTTGCCAAATGCTGGGCGGGGGAATCACTCTTGCTGCAGAACACAGCGTATCTGATCATCTTCCTGCATGGAGAATCTTTCTATCATGTCATCACTCATCATCTCCAACCTTCCAGCCCCACCTTCTGAAGCTAAGTGGATTCCTCCTATATTTTCTATGGTGGAGTCAATTATCTAATTTTCAATTTCCCTTGCTTTCTGGGTCATTTTCCCCTCACATCATTGGGTCGTATTTTATTATATTCACGATGAACCAACTTGAGCTCAAAGATACGTGACCACAGAATCTGAAAGGTTGGCTCATTGTGACGGCTTGGGTTACATTCTTGTTGTGAACCCAGGAAAAGGTGTAAGTCCGTAATAAAGACTCTCTTCTTTCATTTGGTCCCTCGGGGGTACAAAAAACCCTTTTACCATAGTCAATGAGAACTACTCCATCACTCTTTCCATACATATTTCACTTGAATTTTGTTTGTCATGATAATGAAAATAGGTACATGTCGGAGGGGGAATCCTTTTTTGGTGGGGAAGACAATCTTTGTGATGGATGTTTGGTTTTCTGAATTGAATCTTTACATGGGAGGAGGAGCTACCTTGTGGTTTGCTTTTGAGGGAATGTTCCAAAAGATAAGGAGTGGGGATGCTTGAAAGTTCCATTCCATGGATGCCAATCAGTGAACGTGGCTATGGGGAGGGTGATAAGTTCACATATTCCCTCTTTGCCAAAAATCTGCCAGTGGAAGGAGCTCACTCAGCCTCAGACAACAACCTCCATCTCTTCTCTTGTTTTGTTGCTGCTGGGAGGCCGTATTTGATTATATGATATGTTAATGTTGGTGTGACTGATAAAAGGGGGTATTTCTCCCCCTTGTTAGGTCTTTGTTTGCCGGTGCTTGATTTCTACTTATTCTTTCACCTCTCTATCTTTGACTGCAAAACGTGAAAGAATGAAGGACCTCGTGGTTTTCCATTTGAAATTCCTTAAGATCTTATGCCTGCTGGCACTAGATTGTCTGAAATATTTATATATATATATGCTAGCTTCTCTTCAATTTTGAACACAAATACAATACCCAAATACATTGTCTTCGGTGCACTCACTTTTTTGGAGTGCGTAGTCATAAACGTCATTATGATTTATGAGTAGGTAATTCGTATAAAAACGATGCCAATCGTCACTTGTGATATGGTGAACAACAAAACTCATAAATTAGTACAAAAATCATTCAAGTTTTACTTTAATTTGTCAGATTAAGAATTTCGGATTAGGGTTTATAATTCGGGATTTAAAAGCTAGGATTCAAAATTGAAGGTTTAGGGCTGAAGATATTTCATGATTAATTGTGATCCTATATTATATTGTTATATTAGGCTAATGCTAGTTTTAGAATTAGGTGCATTATATGCACTCATTTCTGTGAGTGTATCGAAAAGTCACGATCACTTTTTTGGATTACAAATGGTCAGTTTTTCAATATTGTACATTTTATGGATCGATTTTCTAGTTTAGTCCTACCATAACTGAGTCATGGGGTTTTAGGTTGAATAGTAAGTTTGTATGTTTAGAATAATCTGACTATAGTGGTAAAAAAAATTATGAATTAGGGTGATCAATGTTATCCTCTCCTTATCCTAACTTTCTCTTTACTTTTCAATTTTGATATAAAAATCCAATCATTACAATGCCTTTCTTACTGGAGAATAATTAACAGGTTAAGCCAATCACAATTCACAACAAGAACAATCAATATTTTCTCAATCAAGAATATCACTCCAAAAGAGAAAACCCATATACAAAGTTACTAATAAGGTAGCCAATTCATAACTTCGAACCCATATAACATACATAGCAATGATGATATGGGCATATAGCATGCCACCAAATGGACTATCATATTCCAATCCCACAAAGCTAAAGCTAAAAGGGAAAAGATCATCCAATAACCCACAAATTTCTTCCAAATTGCTGCTCCCTTGGCATGCCTCCAGACCTTAGAAATGCATCCCAAGAAAAATAGGACTTCGGAAAGTCCTCTTATTTGGGTAGATCAAAGATTGTAAAACTGTACTGAAAAAAATTAACAATAAAGTATTGGGTGTGCCTATGGTGACATGCATGTCACAGTGACTTGCACTTTCCGGTCGACCTCAGTTAGGATTAGGTCGACCTCATTTAGAATTCGGTCGACCTCATTTAGGATTCGGTCGACCTCATATGTTGTTTCAGTGTAAAAACAGTTCATGGTACATACTCTGGATATTCATATCATACAATTGGCTAGATGAAAATTGAAGACTAATGACTTGTTTTGAAGTTGGAGTGTCCCTCTACATATTGAAGTGATTGAGAGCTCGATAGGAAGTCCAGAAGACCATTTTTGAACCTCATCAAAAGGCTATGCCAAAACTGGAAAACTGCATGGAAATGGCTAAGTCTAGAAACGTGTTTGTGAAGCCTATTTTGGAGCTCAATTCAAGAAGAATGAATGCGAGTCGAGTCCAGGAGCCTCTACCACGTTAAATTAGGTATGTTTTTATACAAATTCAAGGCATTGGATGAAAGATTGGATATCTGTAAGGCTTCAAACAAAAGGTTCGAAGTTGCTATGAAGGCTGTTTTTCTGGCAGACTTCAAGCACAAGCAAGCTGCCAGAAAAACAACCTTCGTAGCAACTTCGAGCCTTTTGTTTGAAGCCTTAAAGATATTCAATCTTTCATCCAATTCCTTGCCTTTGTATAAAGAAATACGTAATTTAACGTGGTAAAGGCCCCTGGACTTGACTCGCATCCATGCTTCTCAAATTGAGCTCCAAAGTAGGCTTGACAAACACGTTGCCAGACTTAGCTATTTTCAGGCAGTTTCCAGTTTTGGCATAGCCTTTTGGTCAGGTTCAAAAATGGTCTTCTGGACTTTTTATTGAGCTCCCAAGTACTTTAATGTGTAAAGGGACACTTCAGCTTCAAAACAAGCCTTTAATCTCCAATTTCCATCTAGCCAATTGTAAGATATAAATCTCCAAAGTAGGCACCATGAAACTGTTTTTATACTGAAACAACAGATTAGGTCGACCTGATCCTATATGAGGTCGACCGAAAAGTGCATGTCACCGTAGCAAAGTCCTAAAGTATTTTGTGTTTGAAATTATTATTCAATTATTTTATAACACTGAAAATCATCTAACAATTTAGATGTCAATTGAAAAAAATTATGATCAACAGCAATACGATATGGTTTTATAAACACTCGAACAGACCTCTTAAGTAAAATCTTTTCTGCACGGATACGGGTTACAACTTACAAGTTAAAACTAAACAAACATGGGTTCATGGGCCTGGATCCAATCGAAAGCCCACATGGTCGATTGGACTAAGAACTAAGAAGGAGCCCTACTTCTCATCCTTTTTCTCTTCACGCCTCTTCTTCAGCTTCACTTCCCCGACAAAAGTTTCCGCCGGGCGTCCCCGATCACCGCCGCTTCGCCGTTGTTCATCGGACCCTTTTCAGGTACAACGTTCGCCGCTCTCCGCCTCTTTCCTCTGCCACTCTGTTGCCGATTTGCCTCTCATTAGCTCTACAAAGCGTCTCTCTTTCTCTCCCCAAGTTCCGTACTTTCGACTCGGGGGAAACAATGAATTTGAACCGAATAGTCAATAGGCAGTCAGTGAACAAGGTCTCAATATGCTATGGAAGATTCATTTCTCCACATCTGAGCAATGGGTACAGAGATGTCTCCACAGTTTCAGTCTGTGCTCCGGCAAGCAGCAATTTTGATGCCTCACAACTCCCTCAAAACCGCCACTGCACTATCTTCAGTAGCTATCTCCATTCTGCTTCTGCTTCACAACCTGACCTGAAACCCCAGTTCAGTTCTTCTGCTCCAAAGCTCGATTCCGATGATTCGGGGGGTGATGGAACCACGAACGAGTTCTTGTCTCGGTTTGCCTGGATCATGCGGAAGAAGCTATCCGAAGCCTACCCCGAATGTGATAAGCCTACTGTCGATGGTATGCTTCTGGTTATAGTTGACAAGGTTGTGTATGAGATGGAGAAAGGTAACTTGGACCAGATGCTTGGGTCTGACATTTCGTCCGAGGAATTTAGCGAGGATCTTTGGAGGACTGTCTGGGAAGTTAGTAACTCCGTGGTGGAGGACATGGAAAAGGAGAGGAAGAAGGAGAAAATGAAGCACTTCTTGCAAGACGAGGAGGTGAAAGAAATGTGTAGGTTTGCTGGTGAAATAGGTCTTCAAGGGGACATGCTTCGAGAGCTGAGGTTCAAATGGGCGCGAGAGAAGATGGAGGAAGCCGACTTTTATGAGGGCTTGAAACGGCTTCGTGAAGAAGAAGAACAACAACAAGAAGAAAGAGGCCAAGAGAAAGCGGAAGCAGAAGGCGAGACTACTACTGGTGAGGAAACCCTGGTGACTGAGGAAGGGGAGGAGGCTAAGGTTGTTGATCTTCCTAAGAGGCATGGGAAGATAAAGTACAAGATTTATGGGCTAGATCTCTCGGATTCCAAATGGGGTCAAGTTGCGGATAAAATACATAAAGCGGGAGAAGCCATTTGGCCCCAAGAGCCTAAGCCAATATCAGGGAAATGCAAACTAGTTGCTGAGAAAATCCTGTCTTTGAAAATGGAGGATGATCCTTCCTCTCTGCTGGCAGAATATAAAGAGCTCCAGGAGCCAAGAAAGGTTGATTGGATTGCGTTGCTTGACCAGCTGAAAGAACAGAACAGTAACTTACACCTTAAGGTAACTGTCAGCTCCTAATCTTTTTATACCGTTTTTCTTTTGTGGATGAAAACAACTAGTTTCTGGTGTATGATATTCTTTTAAAAAATTTATTTTGCTTACTTCAAAGGCGATTGGAGCTAAGACTTGACGCGTATGTCAAAAGGGTACTCAATGTAGCAACTTTATCAGCTACTGATTAAGGTTGGATACTGCATTCACCCATTTCAGATCTTCAACATAGGCTAAGTTTTTTTCCTTAGGAGTTGGACTAATCCCTGGGTTATTGGTAGGGTGAATGTGCGAAAGAATGTGAATAGTAAAGTAAAATATTCATTCTTTTCGGAAAGTGTTCATTCTAGTCAATTGATCATGCTTTTGTGTTTCTTTGCAGATAGCTGAACATCTCTTGAGCGAGACTTCTTTCCAAGCAAATATCCGTGATTACTCTAACCTAATCGCTGCTCATGCTGAAGAGAATTGCGTAGAAGATGCTGAGAGAATCCTCCAGAAAATGAAGGACAACAGTATTCTCCCTGATATCTTGACTGCCAAAACTTTGGCACTTATGTATAGCAAGGCTGGGGATATGGACAAAGCTAGACAGGCATTTGAGACTTATAAAAGCCATGGCTTTAAACCAGACACGAAGGTCTGCAACTCAATGATTATGGCGTATGTAAAAGCCGGGCGGCCTGACTTGGGGGAGCAGCTATTGCTGAGAGATATGGAAATCACAGAAATTGTTACAGAGGAAATAATCATGGCATTGCTCGCCTCATTCTCTAAACTGGGGGATGCTGCTGGAGCTGGAAGGATTTCAAGCACCATGACGACGTTAGCAGGAATCAAAGATACTTTGGAAAGTTACACTTTGCTCATAGAGGCATATGCTCGAGTCGGGGATGTTAAGAAAGCAAGGAATAACTTTGACCACATGATGAAAACTGGGATGAAGCCTGATGACAGGTGTACCGCCAGCATAATTGCAGCATATGAGAAGAAGAATTTGCTGGACGAGGCATTGGAACTTTTGTTGAAGCTGGAGGGTGATGTTGGTTTTGAGCTAGGGGTTGCTACTTATACCGTTATGATTGATTGGTTGGGCAAGATGGGTTTGATAGATGAGGTCGAGCAGCTGCTGGGGAAAATCGCCAATTTGGGGGAGGCGTATCCTCTGAAGATTCAAGTGATACTTTGTGATATGTATGCTAGGGCTAAAATGGAAAAGAAGGCGCTTCAGGCTTTGGGGGTTCTGGAAGCTAAAAAGGAGCAACTTGGAGCGAATGACTTTGAACGGGTTATAAGGGGTCTTCTTGATGGTGAATTTGGCGAGGAGGCTCAAAGGATAGAGAAGATGATGTTGGCACAGGGCCATACTCAATCAGAAGATCTCAAGATTGCTTTAGCAACGAAAGTTGCTTTAAAGTTCAATAGAACATTTAGGCGGACATAACCAACTAAGCAGCATTTGCTATTAGGACTGAAGATTATCAAGACTAGTGGCAGCTGTCAATGTGGCCTAAATATTGGATTATGATCTGGGTAGGAAAGGTGCAAGAACCTAACTCCAGATTTTTCTGCTTATCCACCGAGTGCTTTGTGATGCTTTACTATAGTCTTGACATTCTGTAATAATAAGTTCACTGAGTCTGGCTTGTTTTCCATGTAGGGGCTTTTTTTTTTTTTTTTTGTGGGTAGAAATCTTTGATTGATTAATTAGAAGGCAGGATATGATGCTTCAACAGTTTTCAGATGTTTACAACACTATTTTACTAGTAATCTCCTTGAATGTAGTCATTTAGCCTCTTCAACTCCCCAGTTTGCTGCTCGACGACTGCTCGAACGACATCTACAATAGAAATCATCCCAACTATCTTCCCGTCAATAACTGGGGCATGCCTTATGCGGTGGTCTGTATGATAAGAAAAGTCCACCATCAGCACAAGAGGTAATTAAACTTGCAGGCTGCAGCATTAGCCGGAATCTTTAACGTGTTTTCTTTAGTACCTGTCATTAGCTGCATTGCCTTCAGAATGTCGGTGTCAGATGTCACTGTTATCAACTTGTTCTGTTATCAATAACACAGTTAGTTGATGCACAAAACCCATCCAGAGAAGGTAATCTGAAAGCAGGAAAAAGATTTCGACCTCATCGGTCATGATCTCCCCAACTTTTGTGTACTTTGAAGATCTCCCTTGCGCTATTACTTTCCTTAGATAATCTGATTGTGTCAACATACATTCCATCATGAACAACATTTAGAACAATATGTAGCTTCTGATTGTGCTGGTTTTGGGGTTCTGGCCAGTATTTACCTCTTTCTGTGATTATCCCGGCGATGTACTGTTGATCTCCAGGCTTGAGAACCACCAGTGACCCTATATTGCTCTGTGCCATCTGCAATTTTTTAAAGAGTTTTGGGAACCCTAGTTTCTCATGCTATACGAGGAATCCATTGAAGAACGTATTCTAAATTAGGAAAAGAAAAGTTACACTCTTGGCTGCTTCATGGGCAGAATCAGTAGAGCGACACCACAGCCAAGAACCGACGTTTTCTTCTCCCTTCGTCATCAGCACATCTGCCACAGTCACGTTCTGTAGCCCTTTCCCTTCCGCGGAGGAAGAAGAGGAGGCCACGCGAGGCATTATGTTTTGCTTCACGGCAGAACTCCTCCGGATCGCTTCCTGCAATGATCTCAATCCTCGGAATAGTCCCTGCATTTTCAGGACCCTCTTCCCTCTTTGATTGCAAAGATTGCACCTTTTCTCCCAACAAACCGAATCCGCTTGAAGTAACTTCAATGATGAAAGCTTTGCAACCCAACTGGTTACATTTCAAGGAGAAGACAGACAAGAAGAACAAGGAGAATACCTTCCCTTGCAAACTTGACAATTTCTGTCGGAAATCTTATGTTCCTTTCTTGTACCACCAGAGCAAGGAAATCGGAAAGTGTGAATGCCTTCTGTTTCTGGGATTTCCATCTTCATTCCCAAGCTAGCTATGTCTCCTCCATGACTGTTTGATTTTTCACGTGAATCATGAAAGGTTTTAGGATTGGCATTGAGGCAAAGCATATCCTGGGAAACTTTCCGATTTCAGGAGGCTTACCATATGATGAGCCTAAACCAGAGCTGAGGGAAACCTACAAGATGCTAGACCTGATGGAGAAGGCATAATCAGGATTACTGTGCAAAAGAATCCCTGCAATTTTCCAAGGTATCCGCAGAAAGCCTTATTAATACCCAACAATTCTGGAAACCAAAAATAACCAATACTAGCTCTCTTTATTCCTCTCACTCTGTTCTTTCTTGTCCTTCATTTCCTTCATCAATGGCAGAACAGAGGCAATTCCGTTTCCGCCTTCCTTGGCTGTCCGCCGCCACGACTCCACCTCGTGTCACCACCCCACCCCGTCCTGTCCCCGAACCAGAAGCTCCACGTCCGACGCCGGTCGAGATTCGAGCCCCACCACAACCTACTGCCACCATTTCCACCCAACGTCCACCATTCCGGCCAGCCGGAATTGCTCCTCCAACAGCGGCACAAGCTCCAGCTGCACAGCGGCCTTCGCCTCCACGTCCGGTGACCACCGAATCCCAGCCGGCATCCCCTGTCATGACACAGCAACGAGGTAGCTCCGTCCCGACGTCGCCTTACCGTTCAGCAGCAGCAGAATCCAAGGTTGCCTCGCTTCCCCCCTCGCCGTCCCGTGGAGCTCCGCAGTCGAGAGCTGCATCTGTTCCTCCGTCTCCATCACGAACTGAGACCAGGACGCAGCTGCCAGAACCAGCTCCGGCAGCACGGACTGCTTCTCAACCGCCAAGTCCGTCTCGTCGGGTTCCTGCTACCGGAATTCAGCCATCAATCACACCTCCAACATCTGCTTCTCCCCAGAAGAAACCCCAATTACCCATAGCTGGTGAAGCATCGAAGCCTCAATCAAGGGAGGAAATCGCTGCTCCAAAAAAAACAGAGGATCAGGAAACAGAGCATCAAAAGAAAGCAACTTCAGAAGCCGCCATTAAAGGTCCAGCTCGTTTCTCCCCGTTCTCCAGAGCATCAGAGGAACGTCAACAAGAAATCAGAACGGAAGGACAAAAGATGAAGGCTGCCCCTGCTGCAGAAGACAACAACCTGAGAAACAGAGTCGCCGCGTTTCTTTCCTCTGCTGCAAATGCAACACATTCCAGAGGTCCCGTCAACCAAGAAGATCAGGAAGAGAAACAAGAGATTCGAGAAAGAAAGAAACCGGCGACAGGCTTCACGCAGAGTGAAGAGAAGGTCAAAGGAGTAAGTTCTAATCAATCTAGGATCAGGAAGACTGCAACCGCCAATGGAGGAGGAGAGCAAGTTCCGCTGCACAAAGAGATCAAGGAGGATATCTCGAAGCTCGTCCAGAAGCTTGGCATGGGACACATCAAGCATCCAATAGGTGGCGAACAACAACCTGTCAGCGTCGTCACTCTGTCCGGAGAAAACAGGGGAGCCACCATGCTTTTTGGAGCTGATCCAGAGAGGAAAGAAGGCTCCCTTCACATTCATCGTGGGTACAAGACGAATCCAGACGACAGCATAGAATCCACCACCGATGGCGAAGGATTCCAGAAGATGAAGGATTCGAAAAACCCGGGTATGGAAGATGAGCAGCCATCGCCAATGGCATACATCAACAGCAACACACAGAGCATCAACAATTCGATCTTGCTCGATAGCATGGTTAACGAAAGCAATCCCGGAGTTCACTTTTCTCTGTCTCATAGTGATCAGCCAGAACTCAGCAGATCAGCCATTGACGAAGAGCCTCGGACACATAGAGCAGAGTTCAATCTTACACCATCTGAGAAGCTTACCTACGAGCCTCGACTGAGAAGAAGGTGCTTAAGAGGATTGTTCATGGAAACGAGTGATTCTGAACCAGATAATCCAGATAAACCGAGGAAACATGGCTGTCGAGCTTATGGCTGTGGTCAAACCAGCAAAGAAAGAGACATTGGAGTTCTCTAGAGTGGTGCCTCAGTAAACTACCGTTATTTGGCAGGGGGAGAAATAAGGATGCAGAGTTCATCCAGAAAAGCCATGTAATGTTTCCTCAACAGGGGAAACTACATGTTAATGATGTTTATATTAAGTTATGAACCCTACTATGTAAAAAGTGAGATGATATAACTACATAAAGACGCTTTCTTTTGAAGAAACGAGTATATACAACCAAAATTTTATCAAAAGCTACAACAAGCATTGTTATTGCACAACAACATTAGTAAACAGATGAAGGAAAACAAAAACGCCATTACATCTCATATCATTCACAAGCAGGTTTAGTGTCGAAGCTACTAAGACAGATAGCGAAAGCTTGGAAGGCAGAGAGCGGATAACGGTAATCCATGGTGAATATATCTTTACCAATCTTGCCAAACTGGAGAATCACTTTCTCTTGTTCCTCTGGGGACAGATTCACAGAAGGCTCAGCATGTGCAACCAGCTGGAAGTTCTTCACCGAGGCCACAGTTACTCGCCCCTTGAAGTTCAAACACCAACACTGCAGCTGCTCATGCCACCTCGGAGCTTTGTTCTTTAAAACCAAAGGATCTCTGCACACAGACTCAGCAGCAACCAAGGAATCCGAAAGGCTGCTGCTTGAGCTCAAGTCCACAATGGCAGTCTTCTTCCCTGTTGTGCTAGGAGATGGAGATGGCTGCTCGGTGCAGAAATTTTTCAGCTCAGTTGGGGTAGGAGCAGTCCCGCCTTCAAGGACAGATGAGATTGGAATCATCTGCATAGTGCACCGCATCCTCCTCGGTCCCCTAGTTCGCAGGACGTTGAGCTCGTAAACTACGGTGTCCACTCCATACCCTCTTGGGCATGAAGAAGGCACCTGAACTGAGTTGATCTTCCGACGTGGCATACAAATGGACTGCAGTTCCGGACTGGGAGGTTGGTTGTCATGAATCGAGAACTTGGTCCCCAAAAAATTAGACCTGTTCATTCAACGCACAATTATGATGATGAAAGCACAGACAAAAAATAGTAACGATAAATTTAACTTAAACCATCTATACCTCAGCTTTCCAACAAATGTTCTGCTCGCTTGAGAGAAATCAGTCCCCACAAAGGATATTCTGAATTCAGTGCTCGTTGCCTTCCTAACCTTCTTAGCAGCCAACAACAATTTGCTCATGTCACCAGACAAAGCTGTGTTTCCAAAAAGGAAAAAGAAGAACATCACAAGCCATCATTCTAAATGTTCACGAATGTAGAGCTTAACTCTGAATCTAAATTAGCATAGAAACAACTAACCAGGGCTCAAGCCAAGGTACAATTGAAAGGTTGAAGTAGCTCTTTGCCTCTTGATAAAGCATTGAATAGGAACATCTCTAGGCCCAGGCTAAATCCAAGGGAAAACATCGATCAACATACCAATTGAGATGCTTAAAGAATGAAAGAATTTCCTGAAGTTACCTGCTTTAGGGAGATGGGGAAAGTAAGACAACAACATTCTTCAGGGGTCTTGACGATCTCTTTAGTGATCTCACGCCAAGACCGGCAAACCGCGGCGCAAGCCACCACGTCTCGCCGGGCCGGCCATGTAGTCCCTCTTGTCTCAATCCGCTGGATTATGTCCCTCAGCAGTTCCGGAGGCAAAGTAGCCCACAAACCATGTTGTTCGCTGCCGCAACCGTCACCGCCGCCGCCGCCGCAGCTACCCAATTGAGGAGGCACCTCCAACCCACCTTCCGGCGCAATGTGGGCTCTCCCCCGGCGGTGATGGTTCATCCCTTTACCGTTAGCCCTCCCCTTCGATCTGATGCCCATGGTGTCCCTTATCTCCCTCACCACACCCTTGAACGACATCTCCATCCTCCCCTTCTTTCCTTCCGTCCTTCCTTCCACCCAAACGAAAAACACTGCCCCAAACCGTCAAATCCAAATCCAACCCTTCAAATGAGGGGAAAGAGGCAAATGAACTTCTGAGACTCAAGATCTAGGGACACGAGGATTAAACAAAGAAGCAAAGGGGGCGAGATTCATGAATCCGATTGGTTCAAGTACATGGTGGGTGGGCGGGCGGGGAGAGAAAGAGATTGAATCTGGGGGAGAGACAAATTCCTGGGAACCCACGAAATTCCGCGTACGGGAAGTTGAAAAGGGGGAAGAACCGATGCTAGGGCGAAGGATCCATGGAAGAAATTCATAAAAAAACCAGGAAAAGCAAATTGGGGCGGGTGCGTGAGAGAGAGAGAGAGAGGGGTTTCGAAAATGGCGAACAGATAACAATTATGTTTCCCGTCTCTCCCTGAACTGCTTTCTTGATTTCTTCCCCCTTTGTCCAAGACGGTGAGGGTCTTGTTACTTCTTCCTCCGCCGTTCACCGGCGAAGCAGCAGGGCCGAACTTTTGTCCTTTCTTCTTCTTCTCCCTGTCAACGACCACACAAAGAAAATGGATTCTTTTTCTCCTTCTTCTTGGATCCCTAATTCTCCAGCTTTTTCAAACCGAATTTCTTTTTTTTTCCTTTTGTATCTCCGAGTATTTTGCTGGTTAATTATTTATGTGGTTTTTAGTTTTTACGTGCCTTGGACGGTAGTTTTTTCTTGGTGGGTTCGCACACGTGTCGGCCTAAGAGTGGTTGTTCAGGGTCATTGCGGTTTGACCATGCTGACTTCTATGGGTCTCCTGTCCATCTTTGTCCAACCAAATATACTCGATCATCTTTTTTTCGTTCGTTTTTTTTTTGTAAAGGATTTTCCTATCTAGATCAAAATAAAATGTTAACGCAAGAGAATAATAAAATTTGGTAGCCACTCCTCTCCATTAGCTAAATTTGTTTACGATTTCACGTTATATTAACACGAATTTATATCCAAAGAATATATAGAGACAATTCATGTTTCATTTAGTTGAATTTATATCATAATTGTGTCACGGGTGCTAGCTTGTATATCATAATGAATGCGAATAATGATTTGATTTAGTCCCAGTAAAAAAAAATGATTTGATAGTAGTGCTGCTATCGTTAATCTTTAACATGAAAGTCTCAAATTCAAATATGTTAAATAAAACCTAAAAAGTGAATTTATATCACCTCATAAAAAAGTATATCACAATTGATTATTGATAGCATATTTCATAAATAGATTTTTCCTTTGAGTATCTAAATTCAATAGTGGTAACAAATGAACAAACCAATGATGATTAGAGTCGGTTTAAGACTTAATAGTTATAAAAACAGAATAATTTGTGGGTTGTGTAATAGTACAGGCGTGTAAAATATGCACTCATTATTAATGTTTGTTCTATTATCACACCAAAAAAAAAATGTTTGTTCTATTAACCTCCACAAAAAGGTCTAGGATACGGACGGAATGGGTTAGGGTGATTACTTGTGTTAGGGTGATTACTTGTGTTTTAGTAATCACGGTGGCAACCTATTTATATACCATTTGATTAATTGTTTTCTCTTCTTTTTTAATCTTACGGTCAAGATTCTTTTAGGGTAATTTTGGAAATTAAAAAGTGACCACACCTGATTATTCTATATAATCTACCTAAAACCTAGTTCTATCCTCCCTCCGGCCAAACCCGTCGCAGCCGCCTCCACGTACCACTCCCGTCGCACCGCCGGCAGCAGCCCCCCTCGGTACCCTCCCCCCCCCTCTCTCTCTCTCTACCCTTTCCCCTCATCTACTCAGAAATCATCGCTCCGCTGCTATCCATGGCGATCCCGATGCCGAAGGCGCTGGTCTCTGTGCTACTTGCCCTGCTCTTCTTCGTGTCGTCGGCACTGTCCGCCTCTGACGTCCCGTTCATCGTGTCCCACAAGAAGGCAACATCAGCGCCGGACTTCACCGGCCTTCCTGAGCTCGTGATGTTCACCGCACATTACCCATCCCATGATGCTGCCAGACACCCTGCGGATGCTTATTTTGTTTTTGTTCTTGCACCATTTCATTTCCACGCACTGATGTTGCCTTCTATTGTTTTTGTTCTTGTACCATTTCATTTCCAGGCGCCGATCACGTCTCCGTCTCCATCGACATCTACAATCAAGGATCCTCATGAGTTTTCACTTCCCTTTTATTGATTGGTAGTTTTCCATGTCGTAATTTCTACATTTGAGTGGTAGGTCGTCCTTGTATTGGTAGTTTTCGTAATTTCTACATTGGTAGGTCGTCCTTGTATTGGTAGTTTTCGTAAATTGAGTGGTATAGATTGTTTATATTGGTAGTTTTCGTGTAATGGTATAGATTTATTTCTGCAATGGTATTGATTGTTTATGGTATAGATTGTTTATATTGGTAGTTTTCTTCTAATGGTATAGATTTATTTCTACAATGGTATTGATTGTTTATGGTATAGATTGTTTATATTGGTAGTTTTCGTGTAATAGTATAGATTTATTTCTGCAATGGTAGTTTTCGTGTAATGGTATAGATTTATTTCTGCAATGATATTGATGTTTTTCAAAGTGGTAGTGTTTGTCTAATGGATTGGTACTGATTTCGTTTTTTTTTTTTTTTTTTTGCAGAAAGATTGAGAAAAATATGGAAAGAAAATCTAGCTGGAGATCACGGAAGTGAGAGAAAGAGAGAATTTTAATTAATAGATTTTGTAACTACCTAAAATGTATTTTATTAAAAATTTAATTAATATAATTTATTTTTCCATACCCAATTTACCCTTAGTAACCACGATGATTACTATTTTTGTAGTAATCACCGTAACCTGTCACGGATACGGACATATGGTGCAATCCCATTCAGGTATGTATTTCGTATATAACTAGATCTGACCTTTGGATTTAGAGTGGGATCAGATCTAAATGATGAAATTAATTTATTTTGTATTTTTCTTATATTTTATTGGGTTTGAATTCTTATTTTATTTTATAAAAAAAAGTATAAAAATAGAACGAATTGATTGTGATGTACAAAATTATATTAATTTTATAATATGTTTTGAGAAAAAATTCCGTACGGAACACTTTGTAGCACCTTTGGTCTTAACTCAAAAGTTTGCATAGAAAGAACATGTTAATTATCATCTATTGTAATTTTATTAATCTATGAAAAAATTCATGACCAAATATACCACCCTCTGGTATAGGGTGATAACCTGTTACAAAGCCAACTCTATTGGGACCTGTTACACGACATACCTAAAATTAGTATGCACTCATTTTTGTGAATGTACCGTATAACGGAATGCATTATGGCAGTAACTGAAATTCTATCAGCCATCGTGGCTACATCAGTATTCACTATCCATTTTTCTCATTTTCTCTTTTTTTTAATCTTGCAATTAAGATTGCTCTAGGGTAATCTAGGAAACAAAAAAGAGACTACACTTGATTATTCTATATATTCTACCCAAACCCTACTTCTACGCTCTCTCTAGCCAAACTCGCCGCAGCCGCAAGCTTTCATCAACATCAAAGAGGAAGGATGATTTTGTCAAGCTCTGTTGACTGCCTCCACCACTCCCACCGCACTAGTCCCGTCGGCCGCCTATACCAGCCTCGACGTCGTTGATGTCTTTCTCCCTGGTTCGATGACTGTTTATTTCTCAGATGGTGAATCGATGAGGGGTTCGACGGCTCTCTATCATTTCCCAGTTCATCCCTCTTTGTCTGAACACGACGCACCAACGAGGTTGATTTCACCTCCTCCGGATCTCTTGTCGGCGAGCATTTTTCAGAATCGACTATTGGTGAGATTTGTATGCATTGGTAGTGATCTACCGCTTTGATAGTTGTCTTCCCACATGTGTAGCTTGGCGTGGAATGGTAGTGTTCACTGGTAAGATTGCAATGGTAGTGTTCTAGTTTTATGCAAGCTAGTGGTTGGACTTTATGTGAGTTTATCGAGCACTAATTTGTTTCTTGTGGTAGAGCTACATCTTATCTTGCATTGGTATTGGTTTATCTCTTCTATAACGGTAGTATCTTCCATTGTTCCAATCTTGTTTCAATGAGTAATGTGTTTTCTGTTACCATATATCGATTTTAGGTATGTCAAGAACCAAGAACCCCAATCGTGGAGGCTCAACAAGCAAGAATCTTGTTAACTATATCAGTCGTTAGGTGCAGGTCGGAGATGATCGCTGAATAATGCACATGACCGGAATTAATATCAAACTAACTAGACACAACAATACGTTACACAATAAGGCAAAATCAATACCATTTCAATAATGATAATCACAATACCAATCCAATGAATACCACCAGAATTAATCCAATATTAAATTTGTGTCAATACAGTTAGTACATATTTAAGACAACTACCAATGTCGATCACTACCGATGCAGCCATACAAAGTGAGTAACACTACGAATCCAAACCGCGGATAACCCTACTGTGATTTAATTGTTGTGATAATTACTTTTCATAATCATCTTTCCCTAATTATCAGATAATTAGTATAATAATTATTATTATAATAAAAATAAAATGACATTCCTATTCTTAGTAGCCACGGTGATTATTAATACACGAGAGCTAGATGGGAGGTTGGGGATGTTTGGTTTGATAGACCACCCTAAATTTGTTAGATCAGCTTTATTTATGACAATGTACTTTTCGGTTGCATCGGAATAAAAGCTGAATAACAGGTTCTGATAAAAAAAAAAAAGTAATCACCATATAGTTGGTGTTGTCGCGATTCACGCAGACCCAGCCGTCTAAGTAGGAAACATTAAGGCCCAACAGAAAAGAAAGGGAGTTTGCTAACTTCATTGCTTTCATTGCTTTCATTGAGCCCAGATAATTAAGAACGATAGGCCCAGCAAATAGCCCAGAAGCAATGGCGGTTCGACAAAGATATTTTGTTACGTTTTGACGCTATCCGATCCTCATGCATTCACACGTCGACGTCGTAAACTTGACTTGGACCAGTGTTTCGGTTTCATGCACTTATCAGTTATCACCTTCCATGGCATGTAGTCATCCTGCTACCTCCTAAACCCTAATGCATAACATCACCGTATCTATTTAGAGAAATTTTACAATGCTATATAGTATTGGTGCTATAGGTTTTACCTTTATGGTACAACTTAAAATTGTACATTTACGTTATGGTACAACTTCAGATTGTACCTATACTTTTTGTACAAATTCTTTTATGGTACAACTTGAACTTGTACCTTATGTGATGGTACAACTTAAAGTTGTAAAGTTGTACCATAACATAATAGTACAAATTGTTTTGTGGTACAACCTAAACTTATACATTTAATGTTATGGTACAACTTTGAGTTGTACATTAAAGCACCAATGCTATATAGCATAGTAGAAGTGCTCATCTATTTAACTTTCTTTGTCTTCACGTATATTACAAACAAAACTTCTTTTCATCTAAAATTTCAATAAATTTCGTCGAATTATACAAAAATTCATTGCGATCAGTGGCTGATCCATAAATTTTATTAAGGGTATTCAACAATAGAAAAAAAATTATAATGCTGTCAAATAATTTGGAATCCAAATACTACCATTACTAAACTAAAAATTTTCACAAGTATTTTGTTCAAATTTTACATTCAAGTTTGTCAATTGACTACCCTTTCTTATGAGTGGGTCCGCCCCTGTTTGCGATGCTAATTATTCATATTTTTCTTATCATAGTGGAAGACAATTAATCTTAATCAACAACAAAACGTTCTATTTAGGGGTGAATTTTCGGTTATTTCGATTATAATCGATAATCGAACGGTCGGTTATCGGTTAATCGAAAGGCCGACCCTCAATCGATAACCGACTGAAATAGGTTTCAATTATCTCGGTTACTGGTTAACCGCACCTCCTCCAGGAACAAAACCATCTCGTCCAACCTCCGATAACCGACCGAATTTCAGTTATATCTGTTACCGATTAATGAATAACTGACCGGTTATCGATTTAACCAACCGGTTAACCGATAACCGAACCTCCACTATTAAGCCTGTGTTGTAGTTATTTATTTTCTTTCTAATTAAGATGAATAGCCAAGAATTGGTATGGTGGAGAAAACTAATTAGCAGCCTGTTTTAAGCGAAACCCACCAGCCTAATCCATTCTGTGGGCAAATAAGCAGGGTTATAGGAGAGCGAGGGAACGAGTGCCACGTCACGTCTGCCAACCATGAAGCGGACTTGGACAACATACGACTTCTTCTTCTGTCCTGTTCCAATGACAACATAATCCGCCATCACTTGGGGGAAAAAAACATTAAAAATAGTAAACAAGTTACAAGGATCAAGATAAGATTGTACACTACAAATTTTGTGATAAGAACAAACGAAGGAAGTGGAAGATAGGGCCTACACACACTCGTCACCATATATATATATATATAAGCAAAATAAACTGCTTGGGGTCACAAATCGAAACTCAAAAGTCTCAGAATTTTGGAGGTGAAAGATAATCAAATCAAATCAATAATGGGGTCGTTAATGGCAGGATGGGACTCCCCTCCCAAATCAGCGAAATTCGAGAGGAATCAGTCGCTGACCAAAGAAGAGATCGACGCCTACTGGAATCTCAAGAAGAAAATCCAAGACGAACACCTCAGGGCTCTCTCTCCTCGATCTTCCGTAAGTTTATTCTTTCACTCTTTTATTTCTTTTATACTTTGGTTACGTCGATTCATATACTGAATTGTATTTTTGATTGTGTGGCAGGATGTTGGGTCACCGTCGTCCGTGTCGCCGCCGGGGGAACGGTTGGTGATGGGAAATATGCCGGCGAGAACGAGGTCTTTGCCGGCGGTGGTCGGGGAGGCAGCAGCGGCGGCTAGGGAGAGGGTGGCGGCGGGCGAGGAGGAGGAGAGGCTGAAGAGGTTCATGATGGAGAAGAAGAAGGAAGGGTGGTGGACGAGGAGCAACTGGGCTTTCTTGAACGAGCCGCCCGTGATTGAGCGGGCCTCCAACAGTTATCCGGCCCAGTTCCACATCGCAACCAACCCGAGGATTAGCACCCACTAGTTTTAGGCAGGAAGAAAGTGAGAATCAAAGCTGTAAATAAGGAAGCCTGCCTTTTGGGTGTGGTATGTTTTAACTTGATTTGGTGCGTTTTTTTTTTTTTTTTTTTTTTGCAATTCCTTTGCTTTAATGTTTGTTTTGTTGATGTTGTTCTTGAGATCTGTAAGAAAGTGTGCTAATTTTTATTGAATAAATAAATGAGCACCATTGCGAAGACAGGTTAATAAGTGATCAGGGTTTTGTTGCATGCAATTCAATGTTATATCTTCCATTTGTTGACTATGGATTCACTAATGAACATGGAACCATCCGATCAAAATGACAAAGTGGAATGTCAATTTTCCCCCAATTATTCGGGGAATCTACAATTAGGATGACATCTTAGAAGAGCTTTTTCAAATCCGCGATTCGTCAAACTCAATTCGATGAATTCTTCTTCAAAAGCATGGGTAGTGATGGCAATAGGGCGGGACGGGTGCCTCAATACTCACATTCCGCCTCATGTTACTACGGATCGGGGCGAGTAACACTCGTACAGGTATGAGAGAAGGGGCGGGTCGACCCGCTCTTCTATGCTATTTGAAAAAAAATACAAGCAAAATTTTACTTTTTACAATAAAACGAAGGGGAAAAGACTTCATGAATGAATAGTAGTGATAATATAATGGGTAATTGAGTTTATTTAGTTGAAAGATTAAGTCTTAGCTAATTGAAGAAAAACCAAAATAGGAGATATATAAATGGACGGCGTAAGAAATTGACCTAGAACGGGGCGAGAGGGTCAGAAGTTGAAACCCATGCCCGCCCCACGCTAGTAACATCGACCCCATCGCGGGCCAGGTCGGGTAATGGGGCGAGTTCAAATTGCCATCCCTAAACAGGGGTGAGGAGGGGTGACATTTGAGGGATGCGCGAGATTGGAGGAGGGAGGGGATGTTTCCATGGGAGAGCGTAGCGGTCAGGATGTCAAAAGTGACTGACGCGTCATGCATGATCGAATTTACACTTCATATATCTCGAACTCAAAGTAGTTTTAACTTTTAACTACGATAATTAAGGAAACGATAAAACATTAAACTACAAATAATTTTTACCAATTATTTGACTCTCATTTATGAATAAAAATGTAGAGTAAATGTACATGCTAATGAGACTAATTCCAAAAATTATTTCTCATTTAAACAAGGTAATCAAATGCAAAAGCCAATAAGCATTTCGTTTAACGCTTTCAATATGAAAAAAAGAATTGAATAACTTCTTAATATTACTAGTCCTAAATATAAATAATAATATAACAAAATAGCCCATTTTCCAATAATTAGTTGTTGTGGGAGAATTCAAGTTCCACATCGGTAATATAAGGGAAGGAACCCTTGTATATAGGTGTCCACCAAGCTCATTAGTACGAGGCCTTTAGGGGAGGACACCCGAGAGTAAATACGTGCGGGATTGGCCCAAAGCGAACAATAACATACTAATGAGCAGCCTGGTTATGACAAGTGGTATCAGAGCCTGGTACGGGTCCAAGGCGGTGGATGTCAGTTTGGTGGACCCTCATTCGGTAGACTTCGGGATTTGAGATCTGCGTTTGTTTGGCGGGTCAAAGGCGATTCGCGTCTGTTTGGTGGATCCAGGAGAGATCTGCGTTTGGGCATGGCGGATCAAAGAGAGTTTCGCATTTGGAAGCAGATCAAAGAGAGTTATGCGTCTGGTAAAGTCCTTGTACCGAGAAGCCCATTGATATAAGGCGTCTAGTGGATCAAGATAATCGCTGAGGTGAGGACACGAAGTTCGTGGTCCTTGCCTTGATGGGAGGATTGTTATGAGACAATCTAAGTACCACATCGGTAATACAAGGGAAGGAACCCTTGTATATTAGAGTCCACCTAGCCCAATGAGTACGAGACCCTTTGTGGAGGACACCCAAAAGTAAATCCGTACTGGTTTGGCCCAAAGCGGACAATATCGTACTAATTGAGCATCCCGGTTTGACATTAGTTAATACTAGAACCAAATTAATAAAGCAAATATGGGTCACATGAGTCGTCAAATGATATAATACACAAATCCTCACCTCTTAAACAATCTCGTCTGCGAGATTGCTCTTCATCTGCGTCTCCTCCTTCGTTTTCCTCTTCGAGATTTCGAATCATGACAAATACATTTATGTTAGCACAACGATACTCATAAGTGGAACGCTCATCACAACTATAGCATAATACATTTCGGTGACGTCTGACAGCTTCTTCTGGCGCCATGTTGCGAATGACGCGCCTTGAGGGAGGAGGTGTTCCACGAGCCTGATGTGACATCACTAGCGGAGGCGCCACGATAGGCTCGGAAGCAAGTAAAGGAGCCGCTCTCGACGAACCCATTGATGGGGCACGCTCCAAGTGGAGTTCCTCTTCCCAAAATTTTGCTAGATGATAAGCTTCTCCCTTATTTTGCGGCTCAAATGCTGTAATGTAGGCCGAGATCTCCCGCTTCAATCCCCCTATGTACGAGCCCATAATTGGCTCTTTAGTTCTCACACAGCAACGATTTAATAACTTCTGGAACGTTTATTGGTAGTCATCCACTGACCCGATCTGTCGTATATTTGCTAAATGCTCCATGACAAGATGATCTTTATGAGGTTCCATACATCCTCTATAGTTCCACTTGCAAATCTTTCATAGTCATCCCATGTTTAGCAAATTCATCCTCAAGCCACATGATCGTTGATTTGCATCCCCTTTCATTTTTTTTAGGGTTAATTGATGAAGATTCATTAAACTCAAGAAGAAATTGCCTCAAGGGCTACAACATCAACCATCATCAATGGCAAATCATTCGACCAATACAGAACATCATCAAAAGTAGAAGTAATGTGGACTAATTGATGAGCCACATTATTTGCTTCTCTCAAAGCAAATTTCCAGCCTCTGATATCAAGATTCCTTGCCACTTTCAGTATCTCACTGCAAATGCTCTCCAATTCTGTTATGCAATTATTTTCTTCATTCATCAATTTAACAACTTTCAAACAGTCTGATTCCACCTCCACAGGCTCAATATCTAGATTACTCATCATCTGCAACCCAAACAGTATTGCCATACCCTCTCCAACATCTGGTGGCTATTTAACTTTGATTCTTTTATTTGCCGCAAACACCACTGCTCCATTCCAGTCTCTAAGGATACATCTAAGACCAACTTCCCCTTGTTTAGATATCCCATCATCTGTGTTCAGCTTGAGTACACCCATATTGGGTTTCCTCCATTTGCCCTCCCTCCTGTTTCTTGTTCCTTATTCTCCGATTTCTTTGCCCTGCACTTCCATAAAACATTGAATATACTCATCAGCTCTAGGGAACACTTCCCATTCTTGAAGAAACTTGTTGTTGAATAGGAAGTTGTTCCTTTCCTTCCAGAATAACCAAAGCAGAGAGCAGAATTGGGCCACCTCCTTTGCTGTATAGTTCTTTAGAACATGGTAGAGCCACTTCTTACATGGGATACCATATGCTTTGTAGAACATTTCATAGATACATGTCTAATGTCACTTTATGCTCCTCATGAATGCACTAATACATAAATATTTCTCGAATTAAGAAATCCTTCCTGATGGCTCCTCTTATCTTGTAAACTTGGGAAGTCCAAGTGACGCAATTCACCCAGGGAACATGACTTGACTCGGCTCTTCGTATTGTCGTGCCTCCAGTCGACCCCAGCCACGACTTCGTTCGTGTGGCGAGTGAAGAGAGAGGTAGTAGATCAGGATTTTGATGTTTTGTTCGTGGTATTTATTTTAAATGTAAATAATATATACTTAGAAAATGTATTTGAATTTGAATTAAATTTTAAATTTTTATTATTTTATTGATTATATTATGGCATGTTGATCATTAGTTAAGAGCGTTGATTGTCAAACTTGACGCCCAAACATGGGCCAAGCCAAATTAGTACAAATAGTGTATAGTTGAGGAATTTTTTTTATTCGGGCCAAACTAATCTATTAGTGTATAATTCGAGCCAATATTAATCCCTAATTATGTATATGGTTAACTTTTTTAACTTCAATTTTTTCCCTTAAATGGAGCAGAGGTTTTGGTGCAGACGTAATCTCCAAACAAGAATAATTTATCATCATTTTATGAATGAAAACCAACCATCAAGATGGTGACTATCTACCCACCAAAACTAGTTGAACATTCTCAGCAAAACAGCCCAGATTCATCTACAAATTTCCCCAACCCTAAAAGTTTAATCAGTACAATATTTGTTGAACATTCCCTGCAAATCAGCCTAGATTCATCTACAAGTTTCCCAACCCTAGAAGCTTAATCAGTACAAAATTAGTTGATTCCTCCCCATCTCAATTCAAGATCCAATTAAATCTAATTTTATGCTTTTGCCAAAAGGAAAACAACGGCCGGCTCTCTGAAAATTAGAGAGAAGCAAATAATCGAATGTGTACTATTTTTTTTAATTGGACCTTGAATTGAGATGGGGAGGAATCAACTAATTTTGTCTAATTTTATGCTTTTGCCAAAAGGAAAACAACGGCCGGCTCTCTGAAAATTAGAGAGAAGCAAATAATCGTATGTTTACTATTTTTTTTTTTAAAAATTTGTGAACAATTATGAGTAGTAGTTTTGTGAGCTGAATGACACATCTCATATGTAGATTAAAGATTGGTTCGTAATAAATTTTTTTTCGTTTTAAGTTTAAACAATTTGAATGATGTGTTCTTCGAAATGTACGTTAAATTCACCCAACCCATCCACCCAACTACTCAACCCCACCCACAACTACTTGTTAAGATAAGTGTGAGTCAGTTTCTTTTTCATGCACAACGCACTGGGTGGATCCAAACCCGCTCAAGTTCGTCTAAAATCACTCACTGCTCACCCTCTACATTTGAGGAATGAATGTTCAACAAGTGTCAAAATGTCATGTAACATACTAAGGAATGAATGTCAAACATTTGTCTTGAATGTTATGAAACTTACCAAGGAGTGAATGTCAGAACATAAACAAGACCATGTACAGACTTGCAACAGTAAAAAAAAAAAAAATGGTAAAAACTTTACCAATCAATACCTAACAATCTCTTCTCATCTATAAATTTCTGCCCATTCGCTTACTCAGTCACACACAGTCACACCAGTGAGCTAACTTTCCATAAACACACGTCTCCCAACTCCCAACTCCCAACAGCTAAAAAAAAGGTAGAATGGCACCTAAAAGCAAGATCCTGATCATCGGAGGAACGGGCTACATCGGGAAATTCATCGTGGAAGCGAGCTTGAAATCCGGCCACCCCACCTTCCTCCTCGTCCGGGAAGCCACCGTCTCCGACCCCGTCAAGGGGAAGCTCGTCGAAAGCTTCAAGTCCTCCGGCGCCACTCTGTTGCATGTGATGATAAACCATCTCCATCTTATGCACTCCAACTGTTCGATTGATTTCCCCTGTGAAAATGCATGTTGAGCTTTACTGGGAACTCTTTTTTTTTTTTTTTTTTTTTTTTTGTAGGGCGATCTCTACGACCACGAGAGTTTGGTGAAGGCGATCAAGCAAGCCGATGTGGTGATATCCACCGTCGGAAGCTTGCAGCTTGCTGATCAGACCAGGATCATTTCCGCCATTAAAGAGGCTGGCAATGTCAAGGTCAGAACAGAGTATCCTCTGGTTTTTTTTTGCCCCCTTCCTCAAATCTAGCGTTAATGGAGTGAGATTTTGAAATTTTATTGATGGGATCAGAGGTTCTTGCCGTCAGAGTTTGGGAACGACGTGGACCACGTGAACGCGGTGGAGCCGGCGAAGACAGCGTTTGACACCAAGGCCGGAATCCGGCGCGCCATTGAAGCTGCAGGGATACCTTACACTTACGTGCCGTCCAATTTCTTCGCCGGGTATTTCCTCCCGACGTTGGCACAGCCGGGGCTCACTTCTCCGCCCAGAGACAAAGTCACCATCTTGGGAGATGGTAATCCTAAAGGTAACAATCCAATCAACTTTAACCTTTTATCTTATGTTTGATTTGGAAAGATGAACAAGAATGTGTTTCAAAATTCAAATTGTTGTGGTGTGGCAGCTGTGTTCAACAAGGAAGATGACATTGCAGCCTACACGATTCGAGCGGTGGACGATCCGCGAACTCTGAACAAGACCCTCATCATCAAGCCACCAAAGAATGTCTACTCCTTCAACGAGCTGGTGGCTCTGTGGGAGAAGAAGATTGGCAAGACTCTGGAGAAAACCTATGTTCCAGAGGACCAACTTCTCAAGCAAATCAAAGGTCTTTGCTCTGAAAAATAAATTTCATTTCATTTTTTTGCCTTTGAGACTGATCTCTGAGCTTTAGCTTACTGGGTTTTCATCGGGTTGTTGATGAATCTCATTGCAGAGTCTCCGATTCCGTTGAACATTATACTGTCGATCAGCCACTCTGTGTTCGTGAAAGGGGACCAGACCAACTTCGAGATCGACCCGGCATGGGGAGTCGAAGCATCTGAGCTCTACCCGGATGTGAAGTACACGACTGTGGAGGAATACCTGGATCAGTTCGTTTGATTGTGCTGTAATCTGGAACTGGAAGTTCTCGTTGGGAATAAGATTTGTGAGTTGTGACCGAGAAATAAGAGGGCTAGGGGGTCATTTTATGATGTGGGTTTGTTTCAAAGTTTGTACCTTTTCCCATGTAATCTTACAGGAGAGTGATCTGAATCAGTGTAATGCTAATGTAGTTGGGACTCTGTTGAAATAAACATCTCAGATTGAGTTCAATGCCTAACATTTTATTACTTGATTGGTGCTGTTGGAGTGGCAAAAGTTGGAAAGTTAGTTGGCCAAGTTCTTAGAGAATGAGTTGAGGGTGAGGAGTGGAGAAACTTGAAAGAAGAAGGTGAGTTGTTTGGTGAACTTGGTAATGGATCACATGTTACTGATGTTAGGTAGGAAGTGTTTGTCAAATGACTGTAAACGGATGAAATGAAAATGCAATAAGTACGGTTTGATTTGTACCGATCCAATCAAAACGTGTACCGATCCAATCAAAACGTGTGAGTGTTTTCTTCGAATCGTAAAACATAATGGCTAATCCATCGCCATGAGTGATCATACAAAACAATAAACAGCTGACTCTATGACTACAGCGAGGATCTAAATTCTAATGCTACGTGTATACAAGGCAGAAATGAACTAGAAGTAGTTAGTTTTTGAGGACGACGTGGACCAGAAAATGGGGGGAGCAATGATCAAAGGTCCAGCCTTGTTATGGATTTCTCCACAACCCCATCTTATTGCTTAGTAGTTTTCTTCATCAACACGCCAAAGATAAAAAGGTTGCAAGCAAGAAAAGGATTTCCACTCCAACAAACAAAATGCAGCTTAGTCATCTCACTTTCTATCATCAAATCATTATTTCCACAAGAATATATAGTGATGTGATAATGAAATTTTCATCCCCATAATTTGAGTATCAATAATTCCCAGGAGACGAGGAAACAAATTTAACAGAATGATTTATATTATGTTTTTTTTTTAACTTTCTGTAACAATTCGATTCATTGGAACGAAACGAAATTGTAATGAACCCGCAATACTATCTTTGTTGTTTCTTCATCCGTCTTGATATGTGTATCTAAAACAGTTCCTACTACTACCAATAGGGTGTTTTTTCCTTCTCTAGAGTCTAGACAATGGATTCTGGATTCCATCGAAAGACTTAAATGTTTTAAACAGGGCCAGAGAATTGCAAGTACCTTTGACTCAACTCTGTCTCTCCTGCGAAAGCTCTGTTTTTTCTTTCTTCCTCTTCCTCTTCCTCTTCTTCTTCTTATCCTTCTGCCCTTACTTCTCATGGCTCGTCGTCATCACTTCACTCGTCGGCCAATCTTTCCGAAGCAGGAGCAAGTTCTTCACTTCTTGGCGGGTGATAATCTCCATCGTCAGCTTCCTCAAAGGAAGGCAGCGGAGCTTCACTTGGTACAGCTGAAACATTCTCGGAAGCTGTACTGTTCCATTTCTTCTCTGCCTCTTCGTGATCGTATCCCATCATTTTCCTTGGCTTCACCACCTCAGCAATCCGCACAGCATCTGAGGGGGGTACAAAAACCAGCAACAAAGGAACAGAAAACCACGTGAGCATGGGATCAAGGAAGAGAGAAACAATTGAAATGGTTCTTGTTCAGAGATGGAGTGTCTGACTATTCGTGTTAGTGTTACTTACCACCATTGGAGAGCAACAAACTTTGCTTGTAAGACTCTGAGAGGAGAACCAGCATCGGGGTGACGATTGTGAGGGCAGCCCAGAAGAAGAATATCACTACGAATGTTCTGTCTCCCATTTCTTTGGGTCGGGTGGGGTGTTGCCTCAGAGAAACGGTACTAGAAAGGGAATTTCAGGGCTTTTTAATGTAGAGTAGAGTAGAGTAGAGTAGAGTAGAGAGAGAGAGAGAGAGAGGACGCACGACTTGACTTAGCTGGCCACGTTGAAGAGGGGGAAAAAACAGATGAATTATGTGTATTTTTTGGAAGAATTATTGTGTCAAATTGCAATTTGTTTGTGGCTAGGACCTTAGTGATATAAGATATAATCCTGGGTTTAATTAATTAATTGTATATGAACATGTAAGGTATGATAATTATATGAACATAATAAGCCTGCTAACAGCATGTTGTACCATGATTAGTATTTTAATCAGTGGGTGTTTGTTAGTGACAAAGTCGAGTGAACTCAATGGTTACCCATTTATACTGGAGATTTGTTTCTTCTTTTAATCAATGGTTTAGTAAGTAGTTGGAGAGTAGTTGTACCAATTAAGCGTATATGATTAGTGTAATTCGTCTGGCAGCTTTGATTCTTCCCCCCACCTCAAAATCGTCCTTCTAGTTCTCTTCACCATAACCTTAGCCTCTCCCAAGTTGTCGCCCCGTTATGCAGACAATCATGCAAGTGATAATGCAACTTAAACAAACACATTATCCTATTCCAGAAATGGGGGAGTCTCTAGAGCGGCTCCCAGATCACATGAAAGCGGAGCCAGAGCACTAGGTCATAATCATTCAAAATGTACAGAGAAAACTGACAGCTCAAAACATTTTATGTATGCTGAAACATGAGCAAGGTTTGTTTGGTGATCAATACTCTGCATTGAGAATCAATTCCCTTTTCGAAGATACAGTGATTGAAGGAGAAAGAACTCTGGAAGCTATGGTCTAATGAATCTAATGCTAAAGCAGAACGCATATTGTGTTAACCAATATGAAAGAATCAGGAGAGGAACAAGAAAGTGACCTCTTAATTCCGTGAACAATCGATTTGCCTATCTACTAGGCATCATGGAGTTTCTAGTTTGAGGACACTAGCCGTGGAAGGTTGTCCAGCATTGTCACAAAGAGAAACTCTTCAGTCAGCCATTAGTCTCCTGTTGGTTGGAGAGTGCAGGTTCTCCCCATATTTCTGTGCAAGAATCATGGAGCCAAGTCGGCGAAGATAATCAAAGGAATCAAGCAGCTGGGTTGAAGTTGCAATTGAGAAGAGAAAGGATTCGGGGAAAGGTTCTTTCTTTACCTGCTTTCCAACAGTGAAAGGAACATATCTGTACTTGATCATCTGTATGATTTGGCGCTTCATTGTAAGGAAAGCCAGGACGATCCAGTAGCTTACGAGTATCGGCCAGAACACAGGAACATCGAATACCGAGAAGAATGTCATAAGAAATGCCACACCAAGCGCCTTGGTTATGGAGTACCTGCAGAAGCCACAGACACAAATAAATCTCAAGTGACCGAACTTTAAGCCGTCTTCAGATCAACTAAACCTCCTCTTTTCTAGCATCATGAATAAGACATAGTTCATATCTCGAGTCGAACCAAATGATCATTCGAGTAACAACAGAGTGACACAAAGCAATAGATGAAACTTGAAACCGACATAAACAGACAAAAATGGAAGCAAATGATCTGCCAATGAATTCAAGCAGTATGAAGAGAAGCCTCATGATGATCCATGAATCTCAATTGTGCTCCAATACATAAACTAGTTATCGCCTTATCGGCCACTTGTTGCTCAACTGCATTAGCATAAAGTGCACAGCTTTTCTACTCTAAATTCTCTGATGCGTTGTTTGGACGAGCTAGTCTACCAAAACGCAGAAAGCCAACAACTTTGCAGCAGAGGGTCCTTGAATTACCAGAACTTGAACTCGGGGAGGCGGCGAATGAAGGGCCGGAACTCGTCCGATTCTTTGGTAGGCAAAGCAGCGCCATCCATGAGTTCGAGCTCTGGATCAACTTTAGGGGACAAGAAGCCAATCAAGAGATTCAAGATATAGATCCCTAGGCCATACGAGACAATGTAGAACCCTTGAACGAAGTAAACCCGCAGCACGTATATTGCCGCCACTCCCAGCGTCCCGAGCCACCTGTGCATTACATGAGGCGTGGATCGATCGAGATAGTACTGAAGTTCCTTGGAGAAGTCGTTCTTTAGCTTTTCAAGTGGCGCCAATGCTTCGCTCCCAACTCCTTCCATTGGGATTCAATCTTCTGCAAATCTTTTCTATTTCTGGAACAGTCAATCAATCGATCATCGCCATTTTCCGTGCAAACAAACAGGAGGGAATGAAAATTCAACGAGTACAGATCACGGATGGGGGAAAGTCAAGTTCTGATGAACCTAAATAGCAACTCGATTTAGTGAAATTGGATCGACGAAACCCACACAATTATGACGTATTTTCAGAGCTGCATTTGCTGAATCCACGTTTTAAACCGACGATCAAACGAAATAAGGATGATTTCTAGGTTTCCGGCGAGCTTACGAGGTGGATTCGATTCGACGGGAGATCAGAAGACGGAGACGGGAATCCAAACAACGCCGACGAGATGAACAGCAAAATACGTGAGTCCGACGGAAAATTACGCAGATTATTTTTTTAACCCTCAGTAACTATTAACTCGCACCTAAACGCGCCTTTCAGGTGTCGTTTTATTCCTCACTGTTGCTTAAACTAGCGTCGTTTTACTCATTCAGAAAAGGCCTTTTTGCCCTCCTTCTCAAAGCGAACTTCTTGGCCTCAGTCGCAGTAAAACTATCATTTCCCGAACACAGTCGACAGAGAGAGGGAGAAAAGAGAGCATAATTTCCAAAACCCTTAGAAGCCGGCCGGCGATCAGGAGACCGGAGGAAGCCGATGGGGACTCTCGGAAAGGCCGTGTACACCGTGGGATTCTGGATTCGGGAGACCGGACAGGCTCTCGATCGTCTCGGTTGCCGCCTCCAAGGCACCCACGCCTTCCAGGAACAGCGTAAGTGAAGCGCCGACGGCGAGCTGCCGTTCGGGCTTTTACTCTTTTAAAAGCCTAGATCCGTGCGCCGATTCATAAATTTTTTATCTGCCTCCCGCTGCTCTTTCCGATTTGGTTATTGTTTTCTGTTTTATTGTTCCGTTGAAGTTGGAGAAATGTGTTTTTCTTGTGCCATCGGAACTGTAAGCCTATGGCATTTCGTTCTTTTGACTTAATTGAGCATTTTTCTCCATCGCAATTGATGTACTTTCCCTGTGTGGTTTTGGTTTTGGACTTGAATTTCACTGTGGAGAAGATTTGATGTAGTGAATCTAGGACTGTAGATAGCTTAACTAAATTCGTGCAATGTACTTGAGATATCCCTAGGTCGTCTTGGCGAAAGAAGGAAATTTCATGGTTGTGATTCTGTGTCGAACTCAAGTGAAGTTGGTAGGATGGTTTTAGATCAGTGTATGAAAAGTGTTTTTTCTGCCTGATTTGGGAGTAGAATTGGAATTATGATGGATGTATGCGTTGGCAGAAGCTTAATGGTAACTGTTTGATCCCATGCGGCCATATGTAATCCTGACTTTTGTGGCTGAATGCGATGTTGATTATCTCGTCACAGAACTGCTTATTAAGTATATGCCTAATCATTTATTTCGAACTATATGTGACACTCCATTTTTATGTTTCAGTGTCTAGACACCGAACACTGATGAACTTATTCGATAAGGTACCTGTGGTTGATAAGGGTGCATTTGTGGCCCCTAGTGCCTCTATCATTGGGGATGTTCAAGTTGGGAGGGCATCATCCATTTGGTATGGATGCGTCTTGAGAGGTAATGTTTTACTCTTATCAATGCAGTGTGCATTATGTTTTCTGCTGAGGTTATTAATTGGTCTTCATTGATGCCTGGTCCGTACACATTCATATTCGATTCCTGGATGTATTAGAAACAATTGCTCGTCATGCAAAATGTACTCAAGATGTTTGTTCAGATTCACTGTGAATCCTTAGTTATTAGTTGGTCTGTCTTTAATTGTCAATGGTGCTTGAATATGGATCAGTAATCTCTCTGTGTCAAAAGAATGTCCATCTGAATATCATAATTGCTGTTCCACTTTATTAAAGGTCAAGATTTCACCTTTAAGGCTTTAACCGGCATTTGTGTAGAAGATTTATCTTGCTCAAGTTCCAGTTAGACAATGAAACTCCTTTCAGCACATGGTGTTTGGGGAGTCCCATAAATATGTAATGCTTATTTTCTTTGTTGATAGGTGATGTGAACAGCGTCAGCATTGGGTCTGGAACTAATATACAAGATAACTCTCTTGTGCATGTTGCAAAGTCTAATCTTGCTGGGAAAGTGCTTCCAACTATCATTGGAGACAATGTCACTGTAGGTGAGAAATTGTTCTTTTCCTTTTGTTTATCCAGCCTTTCTCAGGTTTCATACCATTGAACCACAAAATAATCCAGGACTCACATTGAGCAGGTCATAGTGCTGTTTTGCATGGATGTACTGTTGAGGATGAGGCTTTTATTGGTATGGGTGCCACACTTCTCGATGGTGTGGTTGTAGAGAAACATGGAATGGTTGCAGCTGGAGCCCTTGTAAGGCAGAATACAAGGATCCCTGCTGGAGAGGTACAAGTGCCGAATTCGCTTCATAGCCTTGCGTCACCCAAACTCTCTCTTAGAATAAGGTTATAGGACAGGATTGTTTTTATCTCTTAAATCAACAAGCTGAAGGTTTCTGTTTGATTCAACTGGTGCCTTTTGGAGATATGGCCAACAAGAACAAATAGTAGAAGTGGAAATGTGTTAATAAAAATAGACAATAAGTGAAAAATAAGAAATAATTAAACATGCGACAATTATTGGCATCTCTAACGAATGTGGAATTATTTAATTAGTTTTAGTTTTATAAAATGACTGTAATTCATCCATAAGGTTTGGAGTAGAAGAGAAATGAAAGAATTGGAAATTGTGAAAAGGTAAAGGCTAGAAGTTTGAAGTTACAAAGATGTGTTTGATTGGAGAAGTTAGTTACTAGATTAACTCTAGCTACCAATATCTGCCAATCATTTGAATCAAACAGAGCTGAAGTGTTCATTCGTTTCTGCTTAAGTAAAAGATAGTGAACTGTGTTGTACTGTAGTCAGGGAAGGAGACTAAAAGCGACTCTGAGGAACTGCTGGTTGGTTAGCTAACATCTTACCATTACATTTGATGATAACCATTGCTTATGATCCTTTTCTTTCATCTTGAAGATCATTTCCTGTAACGACTGGAACGGGTAGTGGAACCCATAATACAATGACATCACATCAGGAATCCTGAATTAGTGTTCTCCTTCTTGTTTTGCTTCATATGCAGGTATGGGGAGGGAATCCTGCAAAGTTTCTGCGAAAGCTGACTGATGAGGAAATGGCCTTCATTGCAGAGTCAGCTGCCAATTACTCCAATCTTGCACAAGTCCATGCAACTGAGAATGCCAAGCCTTTCGACGAGATTGAGTTCGAGAAGATGCTTCGTAAGAAGTTTGCAAATCGCGACGAGGAGTATGACTCGATGTTGGGCGTCGTCCGTGAAACTCCGCCAGAGCTCATTCTTCCCGACAACGTCCTACCAGCAGCATCCAAGGAAAAATGAGGTATTGCTTCTGAAGAAAGTTTTAAGTTCCGGGATTTGCGGTCTAAGACTCAAAGAAGATATGTGTTGTTTTTATGCACGTACAGAAAGGCAGGGATTGAAAATCTCTCCCAGAATAATAACAAGCATGCTTAGGTAGTAGAATCTCTCGTTTTCAGCTTTTGGGCTCAGCTATTCTTGTGGTTTATTCGGACTTAAATTTTCATCCTTGGGAGAAAAGGGATGCCGCAATGCAGTTTGTAATTTTCATGTCCTCTTTCTCTTCTTCGACATCGTGTATCCAAGACTGCGCATTTTTCGAATGATTTAGGTGATCTGTACTAAGAATCATGCCCTAACTTTCACTTCTATAACGAGAATTTGTTCGGGGAGGAACTGGGTTAAGGTGCTAGGTAACGTTCATCATTTTGCTTCAATCAATAGTTAAGTGATTAGGGTTTGTAAAACCGTATCAGAAATTGGATTAGTGAGATTGATATCGTCTGGGTGGACCTAAATTGAACCTACAGGGAGATTTAACTGCAAAACCTCCATGTCATATTTGTGGTTAACCGTAATAGATTCGTGATGCCTTGCTCTATCGTTGGAGATTGAATCAGTACGACCAGTGTGTCTGGTACATCTTCACAACTAGTAGTGGTTTAGAGTTTGGTAGTCATGTTTCAATGCCCTTTATCTTCCGGAAGACATTTCTGATAAATGTTTTGAGAATCTATAGTTGCACAATGTGATCTGTGTTGGAGGTTAGCAATGAAAAACTTGGACCGGTTTCCAGATGCTTGGTTTATGAGTCTTGTTGCCAGAACTTCCCAAAGTGATAGACGTGGCGAGTTGAAGATGTTGTGGCTCCTGTTGAGTTTTCCCAGTGGTGGAACCCAATACCCATGTGGGTAGCTTTTTTACAACTCACATGCTGGCCACTGGCCTGGCTGTTGAGATCAATGTAATGAAGATGTGTATGCAAATTGCAATGCAAGTCTCCCCCACTTTTCAACCATCAGCAGGCAGTAGGTAACAGAAAAAGTCGGTCAGTCTCCTGCAGCAGCTAACAAATGTGGGTAGCATTACAGTTTGTGATCTCTCCCAACACTCGAGTTATCACGATGAAGTTGGTTTTTGACACATTGTGCGACCGTGAATGTTAGAGAAGGATCCAAGGTTTCGAACACAAGTTTGTGGATAAGGGTTCGAAAGGTCAAGCCAGAGAGCCAAGGGGCCTACTTTTGGAAATGGAAGTGAAACCGCTTGTGAGTTGTGCCCTGTCTAGATGTTCCAATTTTATCGGATGTTCCGAAGGGACGACCTACTTAGATGTTTGACGTGAGCGCAATCACGCTGTTGCGCACCTGAACCCGATCTCATCGACACTACACACCGTGGCTTCTGCTGCTCTAATCAGTGGTGCTGCTTAGAGAGAAGGTTGGAGGAGTGAAGAGAGCAATCAATGATTGGAGGAGTGGAGAGGGAAATGATGCAATTGGGGCGGCTAAAGGTGCCAGACAAAGATTCGGCTGCCCGTGATTTGAGCAGTGGTATCTGCCGTGGAAGCCAATCAAAAGGACAAGAAAAAACGGGGAATCAAATCATCCTTCTAGTTTTTTTTTTTAATTAAATAAACCCAAAAAAAAAATCTCCAATCAGATCCAAATTTCGGTGCTCTGCCTTTTGCTTTCTTCCCCAAATGTCAATGTTTCTCCTTCGCTTCCTTGATCGTCTCTTTTGCCCGGCGCCGCAACTCTCTAACCAACATTGGGAATATGTGGTGAGGTGTTGGGGCTGGAATCAAACTACAGGACTACCGATGCATTTTAACACGATAGATGTTGTTGGATTCCGTCATTCATGATTGTTTGATTCCTGTTAACGGACTGGTGGTTTTGACGAGTTGATGATTAATAAGCCTAATACGAAAAACTATCACGTTATCAATGGGCCAAGCGCGTCGCAACGTGTTTTACCTTCAGTCCAAGCCCTCTCAATGAGGACCCCAAACCCTACCAGCAAAGGACTTCTACTCTCCCTTCCTCCTTTGACCACATAAGGCCTTGCTCTACACTTATTTCTATATCGCACTAATTTGAGCGTATGAGCGTAGATCACGGGGGGCACTCGCTCCTCTTCACAAAATCCTTCCACTCTCGATGAGATTGAGCGAGACAGTCCAGATCAAAAACCTCAATAATCATTATTATCCGCCTGATACTTTCTGGGTTCAAACATTTGGCCCTGAGAAGTGGGTTGAACAAATAGCGTGGCATTAGAAAATTAGGCGCAGTACGCCCACTAAACGGCCAACGTTGATTAACTTTATTGAAACTTTAGCGGTGCAGCTTGTAAACATAGCAATTAGCCAATTACCATTAGTCCAATAATTGATGATTATATAAATGATTATGATTTGGAGGCGTAACATTTAGCCAATAGCCACTGCCCACTAGTCCAGTCGTAGGTAGTATATTCAATTGAAAACCATGCTTACAGATCGTTGGATCCGAGTCACCCCTATTTTCTTTATCATATATATGTTGGCCTAGATATCATTACAATTACAAATTTCCGTCGTATTATTGACCCACTTTTATTTTCTACAAAGCAAATTGTTCTTATCAAAAGAACTTAACTCTAAAGATACTTATCATGGTGGCAGAGCAACAATTTTGAAGTGCCCGACTAAGTTTTAGCCTAATCGTTGGAGTAAGCGCAACGCAGTGCATGTTAACCATTATAGGATCCAATGTTCTCGTGATTTCATTTTGTTAGTTTTACACGAAAGGCCAAAACTTGATTTTACTTATTTAATTTGGGTTTGGACAATACATATATTGTAGGTCTTTAATGCCATCCTTAATAATACATTCATTGCACATAGAGCCAAAACACCACAAGGTTGCAAGGTCCATGCCTTCGGGAGATGGCAAAGCTAACATTTAAGAAAGCTAAACGTTAAGACTGCCAATAGTTGTTTAATGGAACCTAATTACTTAACTAAATACTCACATTTAACCTCAATTAGGAAGACAAGATTTACCCTTTTGTAGGGGATCAAATGACAAATAGGGTGTTAATTAGCATCATGTAAACATAATTATTAGAAGTATTATGGTAATTATTGTACATAATAGTTTCTCATAATGTCCTCTCCTCCATCTCCGACTCTGTATAAGAAAAAAACCACAATATATTATTTGTAAAAAAATTATTTTATCATTATAAAAATTTATTCCACCAATTCAATATATCATAAATCCAATAGGTTTACAATGCAAAACCGCTCTCACACCCGTTGGCATAGATCTACATACGAAATGAAAATTAGACAAAAACAAAAAATCAAGGATTGTAAAATCGTGTAAGAGATTATTCCGATTAAGTCAATATTTATGTTGACACTATGATTCAATCATAATTCAACCAAATCCACCTACCGATTTTGCATCGGTTAACTTTTTCTAATCGAACCGAATTGGTACTCTACGGCTTTTCAATCCTTGCGAAAAACTTTAACCGAGGGTTAGTTTCGAGAATTAAGCACCAAAATATTGCCGCACTATGAAACCCCGTCTTCTCCGCTGCTGCAGGGGCCGAAGCGAAGACTAGAGCAAAGAGGGAAATTGACTCTTTCTTTCTCTTTTCTTCCTTCCTCTTCCTATAAATACGGAGCCACCGCCGCTCACCGAAACAAGCCCCAAGGCGAAGGCATAAGCCGGCGGTGGCGGCTGCAGCGGCGGACAATTATCCTAGAAAGGCAAAAACAGCCGACTGCCTACAATATGGGAGCTGAGGGATTGCCACGGACGGCCACCACGAACGGTGAGACTGCGCCGCATCATCATCCACCTCAAATTCTGGGCCTTCAGCCGGCGGCGCTCGTTGACCACGTGGCTCGCGTCGATTTGTCGTTGCTGGATCGAATCCCCGGCGACCGCGGCGGTTCTATTCCAGTAAAGCTCCGCTCTTGGCCTTCGGGTTACTCTGAAGCTAATGCTTACATTTCGTTCTTTATATATGCTCACTGAGTGTTTGTTTATTTGCGCCAATGGGCTAAAATTGGGAAATTTGGGTATCGGAATCTGCATCCGATGGGTCCGCGAGTAATTGAAAGCATTTATGGCAATATTCTACCTTTTCTCCCCCTAAATTATGGATTGTACTGTGGCCGGAATCATTGATCTCTGAGTCTGACAAGGGTTCGGCTTCATTTTGGTCTACCAAGCTTGTCTTGTAAATGAAGATAGCTGTATATTTCATTTGAAGTTGCTCTATGACAGATTTCCCATTTGGTCTTTTTTGTGCATAATTGATCTGCTTTATGTGTTTCTTGAAAGGGAAATTGATGGAGCTATAGCTTTTGGCTTTTTGTAGGTTGCCATTGAAGAGCTTGACGGTATATTGACGGAGGTCAAGGCTCACGTGCTTGCCTCTCCAGATGGTTCCTCCCTTGCAAAGACAATTGCTGGAGGCAGTGTGGCGAATACTATTCGGGGACTGAGTGCTGGTTTTGGGTTGTCCTGTGGTATCATTGGGGCTTGTGGGGATGATGATCAAGGCAGGCTGTTCGTGAGCAACATGACCTTTCATGGAATCAACATTTCAAGGTTGAGGTCCAAGAAAGGATTTACTGCTCAGGTGCTCTATTTCTGTTCCCAAAGGTTTCAGCTTTTTCTCTTGACAAACTATCCCGGAAAGCTCAACTAAAATGTTTGATCTTCATTGCTCCAAATTCCAGTGCGTTTGCCTAGTTGATGAGCTTGGAAACCGGACGATGAGACCTTGCCTTTCAAACGCTGTCAAAGTTCAGGTGCTTGCTTAAACTTTTCAGTCTTCTGAAAACTCATATACTCTGTGAGGGATAGGCTTCTTCTGGCTGAGCCGTTTGAAACACTTGGAAAGTTTCTCCCTTTTTCAGGGTGATGAATTAGCCAAGGAGGACTTCATGGGCTCAAAGGTCAGTTATCTATCTACTTAGTTGTTTACAGATTGTTTCTGCTTGCATTCTCCAATGAATACCAGAGACAAGAAGCTGCTTTGTTGAGAAGAAATTCAAGTGACAAGGTTGATCTCTTGCTACAGTGGCTGGTAATGCGGTATTCCATATTCAATTTGGAAGTTATCAAAGCTGCTGTCAAGGTTGCAAAGCAAGAGGGTGTTTCCGTTTCATTGGATTTAGCTAGTTTTGAGGTACACAGATTTAAATTGCACTATTTTGCACTCTTGGTAAGTGGTCCATGCTTCCATAAAGATAACGATTGGTCTTCCATGTATTCCTCAATTTCCCCAGATGGTTCGGAACCATAGAGTTCCGCTGATGGAGTTACTTCTATCTGGGGATGTAGACCTCTGCTTTGCTAATGAGGATGAGGCTACAGAGCTACTGAGGTATCTACCAGTTTGGTTGCATTCATTACTAAACAATCTACTTACTAACAAAATCAAAATTCCTCTCTAACTAATGGCCGCTGATGATTTCTCTTAGAGGCGAAGCACATGCTGATCATGAAGCTGCTCTTGAATTCCTGGCCAAACACTGCCGGTGGGCAGTAGTCACTCTAGGTGCAAATGGCTGCCTTGCAAAACACGGAAAGGAGGTTGGTAATTTCGATTTTCTTCCATGCCTCAGTGCCAACTCCCTTCAAACCGCATGATTGAACCTTCATTTTTCCAGGTGGTTCGAGTTCCAGCCATCGGAGAATCGAAGGCGGTAGATGCTACCGGTGCAGGGGACCTTTTCGCCAGCGGGTTCTTGTACGGTCTGACCAAAGGATTGAGCCTGGAGGAATGCTGTCGATTTGGTTCTTGCAGTGGCGGCTCCGTGATTCGATCTCTAGGTGGTGAAGTGACTCCAGAGAATTGGCAGTGGGCGTACAAACAGATGCAGGCAAAGGGCCTCCCCATCCCTGAAATCCGCAATTGATTATGACGATAACACAGATAGCCTTTACCAAATATCTTATCAGCCATTGTTCATTTCAAGCCCAGTTCGTTTGATTTGGAACTTGCTACATTAATGGAGGAGGCAGCTGTTTGTTGTTGCATTTTGGGGTGGTGGGTCGAACGCTGAAATCATTCTCTCTTCTCATGTATGTTTCCAAGTTCAGAGTTTATAGAAAGCTTTCATCCCAGATGAACTCGAGCCTACTTGTTGATTGCTTAACTGGATTCTTAACTGATAGCTTTCATAGTTGTATATGAACTTAGAGCAATAGCATGATGAACCAAGAAGTCTCCAGGCCCACGTGGCTACACGTAAAAAAGAAACTGCAGAACAATGTGTAATACATATGAGTCAAATGGATACTTCCATGGATATAGAAACAAAAGCTACGCACAGAATGATGCACCACCAGTCACCAGTCACCGCCGTGAGCCGACCAGCAAATCCGCAATTTGTTTATGGAAAGGTCTGAAGAAAGAACAAGAAAGAATCCGAAGTTAGAGGACACCTTAAACGACGTCATTCTTAAAGAATGTTTTCTTCTAATTTAGATCTCGTTATTATTTTTTGTCGTGGATATTTTTTAGCAACTAACCAGTCATGCAAATGGACAAAATCTAGAAATATACATTATTATTATTATTATTATTATTATTATTATTATACTTTTTTATATTATAGAAGAGATTGAGTTTGGTGTGACAGATTGAGTTCGGTGTGAATTTTGCTAAAATTCGGTCTGCTTTTCATTTGACCCGCGCGTAAAAGCAAAGCAATCAACCCGGTCCAAAAGGATTGAATTCGATGTTTACGAGTTTTAGTTCAAGAACGAATTTTATCCACTTTTGTAATTGATGGGTTGAGTCGGATGTGAATTTTATTAAAAACTTGATCGACTCTCCATCCCACCCCACCTAGTACACAAAATAATTGTCGGGGTTGAATTCGGGATTGACAAATTTTTGTACGGGAGCAAGTTGAACCTGTCGTTAACGAGTTCTTGGTGGGAGCGAGGTTTTGGATGTGACACTAAGGAGTAGTGCACATTACAACTCTTTTTTCTTCTTATTATTATACATCACAATCCATTTTTTATTTTCTCTTTTTAACTCAAACTCATGGCTTGAGTATCCAACCTAATTCGACCTGATCAAAGCGAGTTGAACCTGATATTGATGAGGTTTTAGTCAAGAGCAAGTTTATGCGCTTTTATAATTAAGGGCAATGTCTATTTTTTATCCAAACCTTTTTCAGATTCTTTTATTTTAACCAAACCTATAGAAATTCTATTTATTATCCAAACGTATTATAATTTATCAAAGTCTGGGCATTCATTCTGTTACCGTTACTTATTTCGTCCACGTGAGGGGTGGGATTTTGTTTTGTTTTTTGATAATATTTTTATTAAAAATAGTAAATGATGGTATTCTGACCGCCACGTAGGAAGTCAACTCATTATGGTCATACTTAGTCAGCATTACTAACAGAAAAGTTGACGGAGAGTTAACGTTTGGATAATTTTTAGGAATTCAATAGGTTTGGTTAAAATAAAAGAATCTGAAAAAGGTTTGGGTAAAAAATAGACATTGCCCTATAATTAAATAGTTGGGTCAGGTGTGAATTTTGTTAAAAACTCAATCCACTTTTCATCCGACCGCATCTTCAAAGCAAAACAATCGTTCCGGTCAAAGTTGATTGAATCTGGTGTTGACATGTTTTGGTTCAGGAGTGAGTTTTACCCGCTTTTGTAATTGATCGGTTGAGTCGGTTATGAATTTTGTTAAAAACTTGATCGACTTTCTATCCGACCTGCACCTAAAACATAAAACAATAGACTTGGTCAAAGCAGGTTGAACTTGACTTGACGAATTTTGGTTCGAAAGTGAGTGGAACCTGCTATCAACTAGTTTTTGGTTGCGAGCGAATTTATCCTCTTTTCTAAACGACGGATGGGTCGGGTGTAGATTTCATTAAAAACTTAACTCACTTTTCATCCAACTCGCACACGATGATGCTTTCCATCCGACTCTCACAAGAAAAATAAAACAATGTCGGATTTTCAATATAACTTACTATTTTATAAAACTTTCTTCACATTTTGAAAACATATTGAGATTATATAATAGACCATGTTCAAAATTATTATATGATAAATAAAAAATGTCACTTCTCATTAACCTTAAACTATCCTTTATTCCGATCAAAAAATTAACTATCCATTTATAATCTCAACTCTCAAGTTATTAAAGGGACGGAGCCCCTGAAAACCTCGTCGGCTTCCCTTTTACGAGTTCCTCTTCTCACCCTAAACCCTACGGAGCATAAACCCTCGAGAAACCGCCATAGCCAAGAGAGGATGGATCACGTCGCAGCAGCTTCGCAGGCGGCTCTCCAGCAGCAGGCTCAAGAGAGAATGAAGCGGAAGCTCGATGAAGTCAACTCAACAATTCAAGCGCAGCTCCACCCCGTCACTGACCATATCAATTTCACACTCCAGGTTCGCGCGCTTCCCTCCAATCGTTCGCTGTCTGTTTTCCGTGAAAATGCTATCAAGAATCCCGTTCTTTCTCGCTTGCAATGAGCTATTCGTTTCCTTTTCCCGAATCCTTTTTTTTTTTCTTTCTTTGGCGATGTTTGATTGATGATGAGGATGGCGATTCGGTTTGGTTTGCAGCAAGCGTACTTCAAGTGCGCGTACGAATGCTTTGATAGGAAGAGGAAGCAGGAAGAGATAGCGAGCTGTATTGAGAATTGCTCCGTGCCGGTTCTTACTGCCCAGCACAAGTACGAGGACGAGATGGCTAAGTTTCAGGCAAGTTCTTGTTTTCTTTGTTCTTCCGGTTTTCTTTACTCGTATTGTCTGGGAGATGAACGAAGAAGAACCGGAATCGCTAGCTAGATTCTGTGATCTATTTTGTAGAAGGTAAGGAATGGAACTAGTACTACCTCTCGTTGTTGTGATTAGGATCATTCAGTCGATTGGTTTGGTGTAATAGGCTGCGAGTTTGAGCCGTGAGAAATGAGTTTCTAAGTTAATGCAAACCAGCACCAGAGTATGTGAAATTTGTAGCAGCCTAGCAGGATCGGTCTTATCGTTGTGAAGTTACCTGTGATTGCATTGGAACATTGGTCTGAGAATTGCAATTTTAGTTGTTCTCTGTGAGTACTGAAATCAAGCTGTCGCCAGTAGCAGGGGAATTGTTTTGGACTACAACAAACTGGCTCTTTTGCTGTTGGAACTCGGCCTGCATGCTATATATGTGCAGTTGTAATGGATTCGTTTGGGACAAGTGGAACAGAGTTTTCACGTCCTAGGGAACTAGGGCTAAGTTAATGTGTGGGTACAGACTAAGCAAGGATCATTTGCTGGATTCTCGCTGTCTGTTTAAGAAACATTACCTCTTGTATTTTGACGGAGTGATGAAATTAAGAAGCATTAGATTGAGGGAGGCCATATTGGTAGGTTAGGTCCATGGCGCCAATATTCCTTATTGCGAATAAAACAGTGTGAAAGATGCTGATTAAGCTGTTATTCGGCTACAATAATAGGAAAATCAGTAGTTGGGGATTAGACTAGATGTCCAGGGAAACACGAAACCAAGCTGCTCTTTGTTCTTGGATACCTATTCTTCGTCATGAGAAGAGTCTTAATCTGTGTGTGGTATGAATGATGCTTGTGTAGGCTCTCTTTGTTCTTGGATACCTATTCTTCATCATGAGAACAGTCTTAATCAATGAGCAGTACGAGTGATCTCCTTGTATAGGCTACAAAATCTTGATTCACCAGTTGTGTCTCTTGAATTCTATAGGTCGTCGAATTAGGGAACAAGCTGATTGTTCTTGTAACACATTGCAGTTTTAAGTTTTGCTTGTTTTAGCTGTCAAATTCATGGAAGTTTACAACTGTCCTGGTGTCCATTTTAGATTCTTTTTCTTCGATTTAGGGAACAAGCTGTTGAGACGAACTTTTTTGTTTTAATTGATGCAGGAGAGGATGAGGCGGTCTTTTATGGTTTGCCAGGATAAGTACGAAGCAGCTATGCTCCAAACAGCTGGACCAGACGCCATGAACACCCTGGAGTCTTGTGTCGATGGAGCAGTCAAAGATAATGCAAGCTTGATTCCACACATTGTCAGAAAGTTGAAAACATCGATCTAGATCAGAGACGAGATGTAGCAACTAGCAGGTGAACACATGATCATAACAGCCACCCCTCATTTCCAGCAGCAGGAAATTTCTGAATATGGTTTTAGGAAGCGAAAAGGCGATATACGTGTGAATCACCCTGTGATGAGCAGTCATTTTGTAGTTAAATGAAACATGATTTACAGTAATTGCAGATTTTCAATGTACTTCTGCTTTGACACTTTGAGCACAATGCCATGAAGGCAAATAGATTTGTCGATTGTGCTGAAGGGAATGTGAAGGTTGGATACTGAAGAGTTCAATTCATTTTCCATTAGCTAGTGTTGATTCTTGTAACAGGTGCGGGTGTTTATCCTGTCAAGGTCTTCAAGTAGTTGGTTTTATTTTCATGTGGAAATGGTTTCTGGGTTAACTTGAAATTGAAAAATTAGTGGGAAAGTATATTGCATTTCGTTTAGATTAGGTCAGATCCATTTTGGTTTCGTTCGTTTTGCCTTTACTTTTTAGAACTACTAAGTTGGTTTATACACGATTAATCGATTCAGTCGGATTTGATTCTGGGTCAGATACCATATAGCCGGTCTGGAAGATGTCACTAAGATTGGGGTTGATTTTAGAAAAATGAAAAGTATGGACTCAGGAGTCCATGACTGGAACAATGTGATTCATTTCTTTTCCAAGAAGAGGTTTATTGGTGACGTTGAGAAGGCTCTGAAGAAGAATGCAGCAACGTTCCATTCGATGGTGACTGGTTATGCAGCTGACCGAGGAAAGTATATTGAAGTGACTGAGCTCTGGGGAGAGATGAAGTCTATTGCCCGAGCTAATGAGGTTACGGATTCAATGGAGGAGAAGATGTCCATAGACAAGTATAGAGCACACTTCTTGAAGTACCATAAGACACTGTACAAGGAAAAGGCTCTCAAGTTTCAGATAGAATCCCAGGAGAAGAAGAGGGAGACGGCTTTTGCTTTCAAGAAGTGGTTAGGTTTGGGTTGAAGCTTAGGTTACAAGGCAGTTCAAAATTTTGTACCATAAGAGTTATGCAATCATGCCTCTTGCTCCACCCTCATCAAACTTATGACAAATTTTGTCCAGAGAATCTTGCGTTGATTAGGTCGGGAACAGTCAGATACCCGCAATCATCGTATTTTGTTCATACCCGCTCCATACCCAATTAATGTGGAGATTACAACGTTAACTATGTCGGGAACGGTTAGATACCCACAATCATGGGTTTGGTTGTCATTCTTGTTAAGGCGGTGTGACTATTTTGTAATAATTTTCTCTCTTTCCATAATATTGTTAGGGTGGCTACTGGCTAATCAATTATATCTAACCTCTTTACATGGATATGCAAACTGGTAGTGATTCCATTAGTAAACTCCATTTTAGGTGCAAGTACCAATCCCCATAATTCTGCGGTTAGCAAATTACTATCATTGGGAAGGCCTCAAAAGAAATAATGCCTTCACAATTAGTAGTTAAATAAACAGTAAACCGAATGCAGAAGGATTCTTATCGTAACAAAAACGAAAATTTCGACTCGCCTTTAATCTGCAACGTGGCAGTTTCGTGATGATCATAATCAAGGTTACTACTGATTCCAATATTCAGGTGTACCAAAAGTAAACTGTTTGATAGATCTCAAGAAGCATTCAATTGTCTGCACCAAATAACTCAGTTCACAAACTTGATCAAAAGATCCACAAACAAAAAGTCTACTACCCACTTGCGCACACAGACGGCACGCTCATTCTCGACCAAATCCCTGCAGAAGCCATCGCTAAAAAGATCCACCATCACCTACAACATCGCATCTTCATCATATCTCCATCGGAGCTGCCCCTTCATCAGCGGCCGCTGGAGCAGGAGGATCCTGCGCCGCATCACTAGCACCAGCCCCATCAGCACCCTCGGGTTCAGCAGCGGCAGGAGCCTCCGTTGCGGGCTCTTTCACGATCTCGAAAGCATCGATCAGCTTCTGGACAGCATCCTGATCGAGAATATGGAAAGGCTCGTTAGTTCCGTCCTCGTTGATTCCCACCACGGCAACCGTGCAGATGGAGCTCTTGAGGGTCTCTCCCTGTAGAGTTTCTCTGACTGCGATAAGAGCATCCTTTACAAGCTCGTCTCGGGATGAATCATTGAAACTCTCGAACCTACGCTCCAAGTAGGTTTTGGCAGCTTGAGAGCGGGATCCGATGGCAAAAGCCTGGTACTCGAAGTAGTTTCCGCTAGGGCAGTTGTAGTAGAGATGTGCTCCCGATTCATCTAACCCTGCTACTAGGAGGCCCACGCCATATGGCCGCTTCCAGGACCTCTGGGTGCAAACCTGAAAATTGAAAATGATATTGAATCATTAAGATGATAGTTGAGTGGAGCTGACTGATAAAGAGCTACAACACCAATGCAGATTGTCATTTAAATAGGGGTACGTTCCAATCTCCACAACCAAGTAGTTAAATCAAAATGTAAAAGTGGAACAAGTAATAGAAGAAGAAAAAAAGGTAGGAGGATCCTATTGACCTGATTTACCAAACCTAATGGTACGTGTTACGCACAGTGACTGCAGAGATACAAACAAATGAGCAACTACAAATGTTAATTCTATTGCATTACAAGGGATTTGTAAAGCAAGTGACTAGGAAGATGGGGAATTATCAAACAAAATTAAGTAGTCACTAACATTGGTACAAATTCAAGTTTCTTTCATCGATAGGCTAATCAGAAACAAACAAACCTTAATTTCCTAAATTCAACAGGAAAAGTCTTAACAAGTATAGGAATTTCAGAAGGTTTCATATCTGTATCATGCCTTAAGAGAAAGAACTCAGAGTAGATACAAGCACTCACAAATATAACATCAAATGAGAACATGGTGATTGAAGGCTTGACCCTGAAAGCAACCAAACGGAAACCAAAGGGATCCATGGAGAAAATTGGTTTTCATCCAGCTAAAACACAAAACTGCTAGAGAGATTAACTAGGGCTAACTACACTGCGAAATTTAGAGGTTCTCAAGAACTTGAAGCTTCAACAATGATGTGACAAACTCCTACTACTGGTTTACAAGTTCAAATACAACTGAGTATAAGAAAGCAGAATCAAACTCCTCCAACAATACAGCGCTTGCACTAATTCAGCAGCAGGGCTCATCACCACATCCACATTTACAACAGCTCTCCTTAACCGACATGGTCCATAATAGATGTTGTTGAAGATATTCTCGCAAGCGTAATCTAGCTAGCACTATGACTAGTATACCACTTCATGGTTAGAGAGGAAGTCCAGAGCTTCAATCCAATCATGAATGCCACTCTATTAATTAAGGTTAAGATATGCAGAACACAAGAGGAATGCAGCAAAGCATGGGACTTATAGATACAAGCTTTCTGCTTATAAATTAGGGTTCCAGCCTTAACGAAAACTAAGCAGAGCACCCCCTACAATTCGAGATTTCCTATAGCATAATCTTCCTTACCGACGCCCTAATCCACCCAAATCCCCTCTATTCTAACAAATCAATCAATTAATTGACACCTAAATAAAACAAAACCAGCACACACATACAAAACAGAAAACCCTCACATAGCGACCAACAAAACCAACAACCCCGCGCACCTGAGCTTTATCAGCGAGCTGAACGACGAGACGGCCGACGGGGAGAGGGGACTCGTAGGTGAAGCTGTAATTGATGCACTCGGATCGCATGTACCGGGAGAGAACTCGCCCGTCGGCGGTGAGCCCAGCAATCGCAACGCCGATGTGGTCGTCGACCTTGAAGATCTTCCGCTGATGGGAAGAGAGCTCGGACTGAGCCTTGTTGACGCAGGCGAGGACCACGTGGGTCTTGGATCGGAGTCCGATTGCGGCGGAGCCTTGCTTCACCGCCTCCATCGCGTACTCCACCTGGAACAGCCGTCCCGCCGGGGACCATGTCGTGACATCCGTATCGTACTGGTTGCGGAACATTTTTTTAACTAGATATTAGCTCGTTTTCTCGCCGCCGTTAAGCCTCTCCGACGAAGAAATCTGGCACTAGTTTTAGAGTGTGAAGGAAGGTCGCAGCTGGGTAAGGGATTGTATTACATAGAAGAACGGGGTTTTCTTTTTGCTCAAGTCGCTCGTCAAAATTACATAGATGGTCACTGAACTATGTGATTTAGCCATTTTGCTCAAAGAAGTTTTTCTAGACTTTTATTTGGTCACTAAGTTTTAGGGCTATTAATGATATGATCCGACCCGAGCCGACTTTTGTCATCGTTTAGCTCGGCTCGTTAAAATATTTTTCAGGCTCGAGCTCAAGCTCGCTTTTTTCGCGATCTTTAATATGCAAGCTCGAGCTTGGCTCGTTTATGAAAATGAAATTTTGAGCTCGACTCGAGCTCGGCTCGCCAAATATGTTTAATGAGCCCAAAATCGAGTTTAGCACATATAATGTTAATGATATAGCTCAAAATCGAGCTAGAACTGAGCACAAAATATACATTCAAACCTATAGCAAAGTCTAGCAAAACAAAACACAATATTAATCTCAATTTCAATACATAAAATCCATGAATTCCAATCCTTTCTGATGCCAAACCGTTAAATGAGCTTGTTCGCGAGCTTTCGAGCTGAACATGGTATGTCTCTAGTTCGGCTCATTTAGTTAACTAGCTTGTTCACGAGCCGGCTAGATTAAGACGAATCGAGTCTCGAACGAGTTTTTCTCGAATAGGACGCCGAGCCGTTCATGAGCAGCTTGGTTCATTAACAGCCCTACTAAGTGTGGATAATATTTGGGCTATTGAGTTGGAAGCAGCAGGTCAGCCTAGACTTTCCTTTGATAAATTGGGCCTGCCTTAAGGATGTTTGATAATTTGATCACTCCTATATTTCTCTTGGCCTGTTAGGGTTAGTTGCTTTGCTAATGATTTGAAGAAAACAGTTAACTGCATCTGCAGAAGGTCGACCATTTGTCAGAAATGTTCGACCGTTGTCAATTAATGACTTGAACCTCAAATTAGGCATTACATTGGATAACATCAATGGATAACATTCGATCAAAATTACACCAGACTTCTCCGGTGCTTCAACCCGTGTATATATATGTGCGTACATATTTGATATTCATATCAAGAAGGCAATCAAATAAGGGGGTTGAGATGTTAGATGAGAGCTTGGACACCAAGTTGTTGCATTTCCCTTAACCTCCATACTGGGTAGATAGCACCTTCTCCCAGTTCTTGTGGCTCTACTTGTTGCATTGCCCAGCCATAATACACAGTGTGGATTGTATCCTGACACCCATAACATAAAAAAAAGGGGGATACAGTTATCAGAGCTCTCTCCATTGTTATCATAAACCAACCAGGGATCGCCCAACTGAAGCATGTGCATGAAGGTTAGTAGTAGAAGAACACAACAGCTAAGATAGGTTTACCTGGCCTCCTTCTGTAATTTTACCGTTACGATCCCGCATGCAATGAATCTGCTGTGTCTGGAACTGCAAAATTTTGCCAAGATATATACATGAATGAAGTCCGAATCAAAAAATTATGGGTACTCAGTTGTGGTCCAAAATGGGAGCATACCGTTACAATTATTATCGGAGCTGTTCCGATAATTTTGGTCTCTCGTACTTCCACCTCGGACACATGAAGAAGCTGCAGCATAACAAAATGCATCAGAGAGTCGGTTATTAGCACCAATTCCTCCAACTATAGCTCAGAAAAACCATGAGCTGACAGGAACAGAGAAATGCAGTGAAATTCCGTACCCTATTATCGAAGAAGATGCCACTGCTCGTGAAAGCTTTTCGCTCTGCTTCGCACCGAGCAATTACTTCTGGGCAGCAGTACTTCTTCAAAGCTTCAGTGTCTCCCTGCTCATACATTATACAAATCAGACAATTTTAAGTTTTTAATGAATTCTTAGTTTTTGGTAACCAAAGTGATTATGGAAAGAGATGCAGTGGGACAGGTGGATATCAGACACCAATAACAACCTTCATGTAAGCAGTAAGGATAGGTCTAATGGCATCTTGAATCTCCGACACAAAGTCTGGCAAAGAGAATGATCTGGCATGTAGGAATCCAGGAGAAGAACAGGTTTAGCGTATGGCCCCATATCATCAGGAAAATAAATATAAAGAGACAACGGAAAGGTGGCTATCAGCTCACATACGGATCACGTTTACGTATTTCCTTGATACAGGATGCAGTATCCGTTTCATGAAAGATGGTATCACTGACACTATCACAAGGAGAAAAGGTTATGTTGTGAATAAAATGGCACAAGTTACTACCCAGCTGCCCATTTAAGAAGGGCACATGAAAAAACAGAGTCATGCATACTCTTGAATTTTGTGAACAATGGGATTGTCACTTGTCTCCCATCTTTCCCGCATGTCTTCTGCAAGCTGTTAATTAAAGCAACAAAGGACATATGGGAAAAACAAAATGAACAGAGATGACAACAAAGACCAAGAAAGAAGTAAATGAATTACAAACTTAGCAGAAAAAACAGAACCACCGAATGGATAAAGATTATACCTCTTGACTCTTGGTCACAACAGGTTTACTAATCCCAGAGACACGCTTGAAAACAGGATTGCCTTGCATCTGCAAATTGGAGCAGGGAACAGTAATTACCGATATTAGAATGATGATCCGGATACATGCAGGTTTGGTACTGTGGAAATAAGATGAAATGCTAGCATAAAGGATACCACACCTTTTTCCTAAAAGCCTGCCACTTTTCATTCAAGCGAGACTGCTTTGGACTCGACAGTGGAACAACATCAGTATTTGTGCTTAGTTCTCCTTTAAAAGGGGTAAACTCGAGGTGCTTTCTTGCATTTGGATTACCATCTAACTCATCCTTCACAATGTCATATCCCTTCTTCATTATCTCAGTGACCTTTGCCTCCTTCAATTTTTGGAATGCCGAAGAAAAAGTAGGGATTCTTGACTTGAATTTTCCAAACAATGTTCCTGCCGATTCCTTAGTCTCGGAACCTTGATTTGTTTCTTCCCCATTTGCACCTTTAGTGTTATCTTTTGTGTGAGGACCATCTTCAGACGAAGTGCCGCTGGACTCAGCAGACTCATTCTTCCCCATCTTGAAAGCTTCTTTCACCTAAATTTAAAAGACGATAATAATTCATCAAGACATAGAATTGGTTTCAAGCCCACAGAAATGTTCACAATGACTTATCCGAATAACAGGTCGAACCTCTTCCGTAGCAGCAGAAATCTTCTCCTTGACACTTGAGGAAACCTGAAACAGCATAGATTATAACAATGACCAGTAAGTACCATTCACAATAAGCAAGAACGTGGACAACCTACTGTCCATCCCAACCATACCTTCTTAGCAGTTGCTTCAGCCTCTGTCCACACCCCATCAACATGCTTATACAGCTTCTCAGTCGTCTGCTTCGTTCTGCATTCACCATTTCACCATCTCAGGGCCTCCCTTGACATACAAAGATATGTCTCAGCCTATGAACTAAGAATACCAAAATGACATCCCCAAAAATACCACTAGTCTACTCGATTACCTAACTTTCAAGTCATCTTTAACCCCTTTAAGTTCTCCAGCTTTCTCCTTCAATTCCTTAGCTTTCTCCTTCAATTCCTTAACTGACTTCTGAAGCTCTGGATTTCTGAACCAACAGACCGGCGGAAAATTTACTCAACACGGCATACAGAATGATACCATACCATGCCATGTAACCCAGCAATGCAAAGAGCTACGGAGCCGGGTGAAGTAAGGTTAAGAGGGAATGAGGATGATAAAAGATACCTATTAACTTCTTCTTTAACATTGTTGAAGACACCAAACCTCCGGTAACTTGACCACCTACTGTCCACCATAAACCTTGACGCCGTACATAAACCCTAACCCACGAACGGGAAATACCAAGTGTAAGCTAAAACCCTTGACGACGAATAAAACAGAAAAGGGAAAAGGAAAAACCTGAGGAGGCTTGAGTTGGACGAGGAGTGGCTGCCTAGCCAGGAGCAAGTCCCGGACAAGCTTTTTCGCTGCCATTTGAAGATAGTGAAGCAAAGTTCCACCCGGCGGCAGAGTTGGGAGATGAATTCAGATTGAAACGGCGAGAAATCGGGAAAACAATGGATGGCAGGAAAGGTGGAGCTCTACGATATCGATTGACCCATCGCCGGCGTTGCGATGTCCCGCACAGAGATTCAGTTTAGTAGTGGCTTGGGCGTTGGTTCAGGAGAGAAGACGAGGTATGGAAATTGGAGGGATGGTGAAACAAAAAAATAAAATCCAGGCCCTAGTTCTAGTGGGCAACACGAAAGCTAAAATGTGTCGTTTCGTTTAGGGGTGGAGTTTCGGTTAGTTCGTTTATGGGTAGAGTTGCATTGGTTTGAGTTAGGTTTGCTTGGGGACAAGCAAACGGTTAAGTGTGGGGGGATTTGATGACTCGATATTTGCACATGCTTTCCCCTTTGTTTCTTGATCGTTTAACCTTGCATTATCGCTTATTTGGCCTATTTTATGCTAAGTTGTGTTCCTTTGTCAAATTTCAGGTCCTAGCACATAAAGTGAAGCGTAGGCGCAAGTTTCAAGTCAATCGGAGATCAATTGGCAACTCGGGGGAAGAAACTCGGGTATGACTTGAAGAAGAAGGGATTTCTACCTCAGTTTGTGACCATATAATCATGTAATTTTGTCATGAGAAGAAAGAGGACGAGACTACGAGCGTCTAGGATCAAACGGCACCTGATTTGGAGTCCGAACGAGGGAGAAACGAAGAATCAAAGATAGGGGAAAATTGGTTTCGAGCTTCTCTGAGAAACAGAAGGGGGCCCTATCGTGAACCAAAAATCCCCGGTCGTGAACCAAAATCCCCGGTCGTGACCCAAAAATCCCCGGTCGTGAACCAAAAAAATCCCTGGTCGTGACCTAAAATACTCGACCGGGTATTTTGACCGGGGATCGCGAACGCATGTTGTTAAAAGCCTGTTTTGTGCGTTTTTGCAAGGGGGAGCTGGGTTTTGGATCTCAAACACCCAAGGGACGAACCAAAGAAAGAGAGGGTGATTTGAGGGCATTCTAAGAGTGGAATTGGAGGATTTCTTCGCCTTGGAAGCTCGAGGAACAAGCCCGGACTTGAAGACTGGTCATCTGAAGATTCTTACTGCAGTCTCTCTCTTCTCTATGGAGTAACTTCCCTTCACTTAGGTTTTGAGGAACCCTAGCTATGTTTGTTTGATTGGATGATTGTATGAGTACTCTGACTTGATAACCTTGAGTTCATATTCAATCTATGCATGTTTTGATGATTCGATTCTGCTTTAGTCGAGATTATTGATTCTGCTTTGTTCCTATGAGAGCGAATACCTGATTAGGTCAATAGAGCACCATAGATTGATAGTATTGGATCGATTGCTTTAGTCGAGGGTTGATTCACTGCTTTGTATCGATTGAGAACCTCTTTCGATAGAGGGAGTCTAGTTCAGAACGTCTTGATCGGTTGTTCTAGAGAAGGATACGTCCCTCTAGGCAATTGACTCAAGAGGGCCTTGTTCCTTTAGTCGAGACTCAAGGTCTAGTCAAGGATTCTCCGCATTGTGAATGAAAGTGAAACAGGTTAGAGATCATCAATCATTAATCTGGCTAGTGGCTAGGGGGAATCATACCTAAGTGAGTTCCCAACTTGTAATTAGATTAACTTTAACTGTAGTTTGCTAGACTAGTTTTAGTTCTTTCATCTTAATCTGGTTTGCTAGATAATGAACTGAAGCTGAGTAATAGTAACTCTAGAGACCCGTGGATTCGATATTTATTACTTGAGCCACTATACTGCAATCCCTTTCATTGGTTACGCTTGGCCATTGTTAGGAGTTGTGTCATAGCGAGTCAAGTTTTTGGCGCCGTTGCCGGGGACTTTCTAGAGTATTAGGAAAGGCAGAAGTTTGTTACTTTAGCGTTTTTCTTTTCTTTTCCACCCTTGCTTTTCACTTGGGTGTTTTTGTTTTTGTTGGTGCAGCTCTGAATCATGGATCCTCATGGCTTCTCCAACCATTGGGGGTATCCACCACCACCCGAGTGGTATTACCCCGAGACCCCCTGGAGCAATCAAGGAGGAGAAGACTATGGATTCGGGTTCCCGTACCAACCCCCTTACTACGGAGAACAATCAGAACCCTGGGCATATCAAGAACAACCTCATTATCAAGAAGAATTCCTCCCACAACCAGAAGGGCCATCGGAGTTGGAGTTACCCATGGCGGCCTTCACGGGCCATTCTGCAGAGCCATGCTACACTCCACAGGTAGATCCAAACTATGAATTGAGACTTCTCATGGAGCAGTTTGCTCGAGACAGTGAGAGATCATTGTCTAGGATGGATCTTTGTACCCAGGCCTATCGTGAAACAGAGGAGATCCTCCTGAGCCTTAAGAAGAGCGTCGATGATCTTGAGCGATCTTGTGCACAACCTGCTCCAGATCACCCTTCTCCTACCATACTAGAAGAGGAGGAGGAAGAAGAAGGCTACAAGGACATTGTGGAGCACACTGAAGTTGTCACGGAGAGCACCCGTGATGATCATGGTCAGGAATGTCCTGTCGTAGCCGACCACACCTTCCCACATCCCAAACTGAGCTTTGAAGAGGCGGGCATGAGTGAGGAGCTGCAAGAAGATCTCATGAAAGAAATTGCTTGGCGACTTGCCCTCCAATCCGTGCGGGAAGAAGAAGAGCAAGAAAGGGTGCAGAAAGAAGTTGTGGAGGATGACGAAAGTGAAGCAGAAGGAGTTCTTGATCATTTCCCAGGGGTGATACCACATGAAGAAGAAAGGGAGGTTGAAGAAGCAATTGGCGTCCAGGCTGAGGACGGAGTTGATGTGGAAGAGGCTTGCACCGGCCATGAGTTACATGTGATATCTCCACCAAACTTCGAGGAACTGCTTAGCAAGGACCCATTTGCAGTGTCTCTTTGCCAGACCAAGGCCACTTCGACATCGGTCCCTCTTGGTGGACGCGATGGTGGTCAATCGATGCTGTCACATCTAGTTTGGGGCAATAGACGAGAGAAGAGAAGAAGAGGTCTCGTGGGTGGAGACTTCATCCGCATCAAGTGCACGAGCTTCCATCACCTGTCATACCACATGCTCGTGCCTTGAGACTCCACCTCATTGACGAGAACCTCAACTTCAAGGAGGTTTTGGGGTGGACCGAAGCTTAGGAGCTACCGTCCGGCTCACGACGTGAAAGAAGCGCTTGTTGGGAGGCAACCCAACCAGTCGGTTTGCATTTCTTTTTCTCCTCGGTTGAGTCAGTTTTGTTATTTGATTTTAGAGTCAATAACTCAACCTTTGTGAGATTTTGTGTGGTGTTTGTGTTTCGAATACTCTCTCCTCCTGGAATGCACCGCCTACCTCGTCCATCGTCATTCACCCTTAATCTGGTAACTTCGTTCTACCCTCCTTATCTTTCCTCCATTGAGGACAATGTCGTGCTTAAGTGTGGGGGGATGTTCGATTATGTATGCGGGTGAATGTTTGGCTGTTTGTGTGCTTGGAGCCTAGTCCACTGTCCAAATTTCGATTTGAGGGCTCAAAGTACGTGTTCCTTGCAATTGCCTGCTCAGTATGGTTTGAATTGACAGTCTTTATAGTAATATGCAACCTAGGGAGGTAGTGTAGCACTATGGAGGATGTTGATGCATTTAAGAAGTCTCCTTTCTTCTTCATATTGTGTTGGTTGATTCTGTGAATTAGTGATCTTAGGACCCTTGAATTGTGTGGTGTTGTGAACTCTCTACCTGTCATGGACTCCTGTATCAGGTTTTGAAATAAAAGGTGCTCGAAAATGTGCTTGAAAATAACGTCTCCCGTGCGAATAGCGCGAAAGTGTGTAAGAGGAGACGGGAATCTGTTCCCAATTTCCACCTACTACCTCCAGCCCCCTTACATTCCTTTTCCCCGCACGAGGCTCGAGACATTCGCTCCCGGCAATGGCCGGTAAGAGCCAGGTTCCCACAAAACCTTTGCTGGGTGGGAGCCCCGTTTTCTTAAAATCGGGTTGGAACCCTTGAAAAAAAAAAGAAAAAAGAGAACAAAAGAAAAGGAAAAAAAGGGGTTCCAACCGTCTTCAAAAAGAAAATAAGAGCACCTTGAAAAATGTGAGTTCATGATCTTTTGTTTTTTAGAGTCTCTTCGTCCATGATTCATTTGTCCTCTGGTCACTATTTACCATGATGTCGACTCGAGACTAGCGTTCTCGTCGAAGAAGCTATGAGATGACTTGTGTCTCGGTTGACCTCGTAAGTTGCTAAATGATCTAGAAAATCCTATATCAATGATCGAGGGTGCGTGTTGCTATAGAGTTCTGGAGAGTTGCATTAGTTTGAGTTAGGTTTGCTTGGGGACAAGCAAACGGTTAAGTGTGGGGGGATTTGATGACTCGATATTTGCACATACTTTCCCCTTCGTTTCTTAATCGTTTAAGCTTGAATTATCGCTTATTTGGCCTATTTTATGCTAGGTTGTGTTCCTTTGTCACATTTCAGGTCCTAACACATAAAGTGAAGCGTAGACGCAAGTTTCAAGTCAATCGGAGATCAATTGGCAACTCGGGGGAAGAAACTCGGGTATGACTTGAAGAAGAAGGGATTTCTACCTCAGTTTGTGACCATATAATCATGTAATCTTGTCATGAGAAGAGATAGGACGAGACTACGAGCGTCTGGGATCAAACGACACCTGATTTGGAGTCCGAACGAGGGAGAAACGAAGAATCAAAGATAGGGGAAAATTGGTTTCGGGCTTCTCTGAGAAACAGAAGGGGGCCCTATCGTGAACCAAAAATCCCCGGTCGTGAACCAAAAAAATCCCCGGTCGTGACCTAAAATACCCGACCGGGTATTTTGACCGGGGATCGCGAACGCAGGCTGTTAAAAGCCTGTTTTGTGCGTTTTTGCAAGGGGAGCTGGATTTTGGATCTCAAACACCCAAGGGACGAACCAAAGAAAGAGAGGGTGATTTGAGGGCATTCTAAGAGTGGAATTGGAGGATTTCTTCGCCTTGGAAGCTCGAGGAACAAGCCCGGACTTGAAGACTGATCATCTGAAGATTCTTACTGCAGTCTCTCTCTTCTCTATGGAGTAACTTCCCTTCACTTAGGTTTTGAGGAACCCTAGCTATGTTTGTTTGATTGGATGATTGTATGAGTACTCTGACTTGATAACCTTGAGTTCATATTCAATCTATGCATGTTTTGATGATTCAATTCTGCTTTAGTCGAGATTATTGATTCTGCTT